CAGGGTTTCTCTGTGTAGCCCTGGCTGGAACTCACTCTGTAGACCAGGCTGGCCTCAAATTCACCTGTCTCTGCCTCTCAAGTGCTGGCTGAGACTAAAGGTGTGCACCATCACTGCCTGGCTGAACTTTTTAAAATAGCTACTAGACGTAGTTCTACATTTTTTTAAAAAAATGTTTATTGAGTTCAGTTGTCCATTTGTTGATTGGTGGGTTTATTTCCTTGGTATTTATGTCTGGAGATGTGGCTGGTAGGCGTCATGCTGTGGACAGTCTGCTCTGCAGGACAAAAATACTTCCGTGTCAGCTGGTCCCATCTGTTGGTACTGGGTGGGTAGTTCTTTTGCTAATGGTGTTCTAGTCAGAGTTGTTGACTCCAGTATCTTGAAGAGCATCCCCTGTATTTTCTAGAAGTTGGAACGTTTTAGATTTTTACAGTAAGAGTAAGGTTTAGCACGTCAGTCAAGTGATGAGACTGAAAAAGGCTACTGAGGTGTCCTATGGCATAATAAATTATTAGAAATAGCACTTAATATAACAAAATATCCATGTTGCAGGTTGTGGTATGTCATGCCTATTGAAATGTGAAATAAGTTTCAGTCTAGCCCAACCCTTGTGCTTACAGGCCCTTTGAGCGGACAATCACTATGCATAAGGACAGCAGCGGGCATGTTGGCTTTATCTTTAAAAGTGGAAAGATCACATCCATAGTGAAAGACAGTTCTGCTGCCAGAAATGGCCTCCTCACCGATCATCACATCTGTGAGATCAACGGGCAGAACGTTATTGGCTTGAAGGTAAGGAACGCACTGGACCCTGGTTTCAAAACAAAACATCATTTAGGTGGCATGACTTTTGTGATGATCCTCAAACATTGAAACTTGGTCAGAGTTAAGTGTAGGAGCTGGGGCTCTGGCTAGCCGTGGTCTTGGACCATCACAGAAATAATTCTGAGATGTTACCTGAAATTTTCTTTCCCATACCAAGGTAGCTAAACTGTGACTTGGTATTCCTTCAGGCTAAAATTCTGTGGAGACATGGGCAGAGACATTTTTAGACATTCTGAATGGATGAATGTCCAACTTTTCCACTCTAGGAATAAGTCTTGGTATATATATTAATACTTTGTTTTTATAGTTTTTTTTTCTTAGTTGGGTTTTTATCGCTGTGAAGAGACACCATGCCATGGTAACACTTACAAATTGGGGGTGGGTCGCTTAACAGTTTCAGAGGTCCGGTCCATTGTGATCATGAAGGGGAGTATGGTGACATACAGGCAGATGTGGAGCTGGCTACATCTTGACAAAAAGGCATCAGGAAGTTGACTCACACACTGGGTGATGTCCAGAGACACACTTCCTCCAGCTAGATCACACACTCCCTTCGGGGCCTATTTTCTTCCAAACCAACACATTCTACTCCCTGGCCCCCAAAAGCTTTTATGCAGTCTCTTAACTATAATCCCCTATACAATCAAAAAGCAGATCACATACGTCCAACATAGACACAGGATATACGTCACCATTCCAGAATGTAGGGAAAGGACCACAGTGAAGAAATACTCAAAGCAAGACTGAAAACCAGCTGGGCAGACTCCATGTCTGATGTCAGAAGACTCATCTCCAGTAACCCCATCCAGCTTTGTTGACTGCAGCACCTCTTCCTCTTGGTCTGTTTCCACTCCTGTTAGCAGCTCTCCTCAGCAGGTGTCCCATGACTGATGGTATCTCTGGGCCTCCATACAGGGACAACCCTGACATGTGCCTGGCCTCAGCGGCTTTATTCCAAAACTCCTTTATTTTATCCTTAGCTCTTAAAGCCAGAATCTTGTTCTGAACTGCCAAGTTCTGCTGCTTACTGGGGCTGGAACATGCCCTGTTCCCCTTTCAGTTACATGATCTGCCTGCTTCTGCCTCTCAAGTGCTGGGATTAAAGGTGTGCCCCGCCATACCTGACTCTAAGCTGGAGACTTCGCTGGGTGGGACCTTACCCCGAGGTCACTACTGTCTGGATTCCATTTAATTCATTCAGCTCCTTTCCACTTCCTGGTTCCCTTTTCTCCTCAAAATTTACATTTTGTAATTTATCCTGCTCAGCTTGCACTTTTTCATTATAAGCCTTCATTAGACTTACCACTAAAAACCACACAACAGTGTCTATACTAGGCTGTTTTGACATTTCTTCTGTCATGGGAATTAATCCAAAACTTCACTTTAGTCTCAGGCAGACTCTTCAGAGAAGGATAAAAGGTAGTCACTGTCTTCACCAAAATATCACAAGAGCGATTTCAAGGCAACAGACTAAAATTCTACACTGAAACCTTTTGAGCCAGCTCCCAACATTTCAGATCTCCAGCACCACTGTCTTCCATGCTCCACAGTCCGCCTCATTAAGCAGGGCTTAAAGCATTCCACTGCTCCCAAAGCACCACGGTCCAAATTCTCCAGACACACACAGCGATACCTCAGTCCCTGGGACCAGCTTCTGTGAAGAGACTTAGTTCAGTCCTTTATAGTCACGAAGGGAGCATGGCAGCATGCAGGCAGATGTGAAGCTGGCTCGATCTTGACCAGGAAGTTGACTCTGTTTTGATCTATAAAGTTTTTCTGGGATTTTTTTTTTTTTTTTTTTTTGGAGACAGGGACTCTCTACATAGCCCTGGCTATCCTGCCTCTGCAGTGCTGGCTCAGAGGCATGTGAAAGCATGCTCGGCTTATAAATTCTTGAATTAAGACTCTTATCTTAAGATCTTAAGGTTTTAAGTAAGACCTTAATTCATAAATTCTAGAGTATGGTTGACTGTATGTGGGGCGAGCTCTCCATTCTCGAGTATGGAATTTGTTCAGTACCCTCAACTTTAAAAAACATGGGTGTAAGATTAAATTTAAAATTCAGACTACAGAGATATTAGCAAGACATCAGCAAATACAGTATGATTTTTACCTAACAATTACAGTTTTATCTTTATTAAATTCTGTTATGTTCCATTAGGACTCTCAGATTGCAGACATCCTCTCAACAGCTGGGACTGTAGTTACCATTACAATCATGCCTGCTTTTATCTTTGAACATATTATTAAACGGTAAGTGGACAGCTCTATTTTACACTTGTGGTCACCTGACATAAATGTAAATGCTACTTTCAGTCTGCAGTTCTGCTTACCAGAAATATAGTCATATTATAGTTACATATATTGTATAGTCCCGTGTCTCTCAGGAGGCAGAGAGGTGCATGGTGTCCTCTGGGACTGAGAGTTGTTAAGGGCAAGCAAGGGTGAGTCTGTCCAGAGCTTTCCGACTCTCTGTATAGTTACCACGATGTCTCGGAAACCTTTCATTCAGAGTCCTTATATAGCATGTGAAAGAGATTTGGAAGATATATAAGCATAACCATTGTAATGAAATCTTGATCTATTCGGGAAGAATGCAGCTAGCTACTCTTGAAACAGACTTGTCTTTTTAACTATTGGTAGGTCCCTTCTCCCCCTTTTCTTCTGACTCATCATAGCCTTTTTTGCTATTTTATTTTGATTAAACTGCCAGTCTTAACATAAAGGACTCGCACCTTCTCTAGCATGTCTGCCCTGGTACGGACAGTCTCCGACAACTCAGTTATCAGTTCCTTAGCTCTGAGCTCATTTAAGGACCTTTTCCCTCTCCCCCAGACTCATTGATAACCCATGGCATTCTTGACATAAGTCATGTGTTACATGATTGGCTCTCTTGTAGGATGGCACCAAGCATTATGAAAAGCCTGATGGATCACACCATTCCCGAAGTTTAATAACCCTGTACAACACATCACAGCTGAATGTTTCTAGTTTTCTTCTTCGGCAACTTCTAGATTTTGCATATGAAGCTTTCCTGAAGCCAGGGAGAATATGCTGCATGGGGACCTGTCTATCTTCCATCATGGCTGGGAACCTCACGCTATCTGACGTCTTCTTCAGAGTTAAGATAGGTGTAGCCTTATCCTGGTTTTACAGATGTGAAACTTCCTGACTTTCCTAGAATCGTTTCTTTGCTGGAAACCTGATGTTTTTATAAGCCATCGTGGTTAGGATGACTGGTGTAGACTTAGCTGTGGGAACTGGTCACCTTTGTCCTAGATAAAGCACAGTGCTAGTCGTGTGTTCAGTTCTGTGGCGCACTTGGACTTCAGAACATCAGCATATAGTACATGGAGGATGACTGCCTTTGATCGTTACTTTTTCTTCTCTGTATGAGTGTGTAAAATTCCAGTTAATCAACACTGGTTTCATTCCACAAAAGCATTATACAGTGTGTGCAGTTTGCAGAGACTTTATGATTGTCACTAAATTTTAACTACCTTCACTTAATGCGCTTCAACTGCCGCCTTAACTACAGTAAGCATTTAGAATAAAAGCCAAAATAGAATTCTTGCTGCCTTCTGAGACCTGAGATGTTAGCTCTCTATTAAGCTGGTATCCGCCAGCCCCGAGCAGCTTACGGCAAAGCAGAGCTGCCTAGTTGTGGAAGATTTTTCTAGTCGCTGCATAAAGGAAACGCCTACAAGTTGCCGTATTGCTTTCTGAAAAACAGACCGCTATATATTTCATGTAAAAGTTGTTATATAAACAGAACAAATTTTGGAGTCTCCTTTTCACTTGTGGATTAAGTGGGCAATACTTAGTTTGAATCCTAACATTATGTAACTTAGCTACTTTGGGTAGTCTTAGACTGCTTCCCTAGCCATTTTAATTTGTTCTGTCTTCTGACTCCGTCCTCTAAACAGAAATGGCAATGACACTTTATCTTGATTTTTTTCTTTTTTGCCTATCCTAGTATTTTATCTGATTATTATCCTATTAAATGTATAAATGTATAAAAATGCTAAGTCTGTGTTATTTCTTCAGTCCTCTCACATCCAGTCTGAGAGCAGTCCTAGAGCTAAGTCTGTGTCTGGAAATACACTTGCTCGAGACCCCTAGATGGCCAGGCCTGTGGCCCCCGTTCACCCTGTACCCTAGTTGTGGGTGATGAGGGAACCTGGTGAGGCTTCTGCATCGCCAGTAAAACCAGACCACCAACATGTATTCAGTGATGCTTAAAACTGACTAAGTCTCTAGACTATAACAGTACTCTCAACAGTTTAGAAAGTTTGTGATCATATGTTCGCTGTTCAGAGATGAAATATAAAAAGAAAATCATTGTTATTGCTATATAACTTACCTTGTTGGACATTGACATTCCCCAGTTTATCAACCTTGTGTTCTGGACTCAGTCCTGATGGTAAGCCCAAAAGAAATGAAACAAATTATATTTGTTACTAAGTACAGTTTTGTAGGAGTAATACTTACGACTTATTTGTTTTTTGAGACAGGGTTTCTGTGTGGCTTTGTAGCCTGTCCTGGAACTAGCTCTTGTAGACCAGGCTGGTCTCGAACTCACAGAGAGCCACCTTTCTCTGCCTCCTGAGTGCTGGGATTAAAGGCGTGAGCCACCACCGCTTGGCTGTGATTCTTAAACTGTTTAAATAAGAAAAGGAAGAGTGCTTTCATTACAGAAAAAAATTTAATGTAGAAAAGATGAACATTTAGTAGCGTAATGAAATATAAACCATTTACTATACACAGTATATTCCTCCCCCAGATTCTTAGAATCTGGGCACACAGCACTGCAGAGGGCAGCAATCCATGAAAACACACTGAAGACCCTGGTGACAACTGGGCACTTGGGTCAGAGGCTTCTTCCTCTCGGAGAACTGGGCTGGCCAGTGCTGCCTGCGGTCTCCTCGGTTGGATGGGTAGTTCTTATCCTCTGCCACCGGGTACAGTCTTGTAACCTTCATCACAGGTGACAGTCCTGTCTTCAAAAGAATGTTCTTGCCCCTAACACCGCCATATATTTATCTGCCTTAATGGATGACAACAAGTGGCTTTGAATGAAGTCATCATGATTTAGGAAGCTGAAACCACAAATTCTTCATGTAGTTAAAGTACTGTCTTTGCACATTCGCCAGTTCACATTCAATAGACGTGAACTCAACAGCGAGGAAAAGGCACTTAATACTGCAGTTTCCAGAACATAATCTGCCTGTCTTCCCCTCCCGTGATGATGCTGCTGCACTGCTCGTTCATCCATATGCATGTCACGGCACCTGCAAGACATCAGTGAGGGTGCATGTGGCCCAGGGCAGACACCGTACCTGTCTTTCTATAATAAAAACTATCTATGAGTTTAAAACACGCACTTCTGCAGAGAACTTGAGAGAAATGAAACCATTTCAGTATGAGTCTAAAAGCAGAATGACTGCTGCCAACACACGCCCTGCAAATGCTGTAAGAACAGTCAAGAGACCTCTGGGAAGGGAAATGGCAGCCAATCTGCAGACTTATGCCTATTCCACTGAAAACATAGCTACATAAGATACATATCAGCATATGAAATGAGAAGAAAAGAGAGTGAAGGTAGGCAGGTCCATCTCACAGAGGGAATGTAATGGTGAAAACAGCCCTGCAAATGTAAGCAGCCTACACTGAGTCTCCCAGAGTCTGCAGCTGAAAAGGGAGAGAGCAGAGAGCTCTACATGATTGTGTGTGTTGTGCAATTCTCTCCACATAATCAATGAGCATGCCCGTGCCTGGTGAACATCCCCCGAGACTGGAAGGTAGGAATTGTAGCCTGACAGCAGGAGGCAAGAAGATGCCTCAGTTTCCACGGCAGTTTATTTTTCCATTGTCTTGGTATCAGTTGTAGAGCTTTGCCATGGTTTTTATTCTCTAAATGGTAGTAAAGATTTTTTTCAGAGGCTAAAATAAATATAAATCTTAAGGAACCTGAAAGGCAACCACTGGCCAGTCAGAACGTACAAGGGGATGTTCTCCCAGAGCGCACATGGGGTCTGCCTGAGTCAGACAGTCGAGCTCCTCACCTGTGTGGCCCTGTATCCGCTCACTGATTTTTGCTCCAAGGAGGTCCCAGACAAGCAGCTCACCAGACCGACTTCCAGATAAGACAGAATTTCCATCCCAGACGAAGCACCTGCAAGCATGATCAGGAGACAGTCCACCATAAAGCAAGCACGTGACCCTGGTCAGACATGACCAGATGGATGATCACGAACATACTGCAAATGCCAGCGCTCAACAGCTGTACCTCTGTGGCTCCTCCGAGGCCATGGACGAGATGAGCATGCCCGTCTGCACATCAATCACGTTTAGACAGCCGTCTACTCCCGTGCTGAGGATGTGGCGACTATCTGTCAAAGACACAAGGAGCTGCTTCAGAAAGCAGGTCTGATCACTCAGGCTTGGCTTCTGAATCTGCTGCCTACTTCATTTCCTTGAAGTCTGTCTTTGTCTATACAGTTTCAATGGTTTATATGAATAGTTTCAGTCTTTCTTTCTTCCTAAGTTTCTAAAAATGGTTACAATAATTATGTTTGTTCCTTCTTTCCCCTTCTGTCTCCCAACTCTCCCACTGGAAGCCATTGCCTTTTTGATGTGTATCTCTACTCTCAGAAGCATAACAGTTTTGCAAGCTACAGAGGTACTTTTCTGCCTAGGCACACCTACAGGTAGAATAGTGTGCCCAGCTGGCAGCGTATGCGGTTACAGGGTCATGCAAAGCTAGACAGTTTTGTCTCTTGTGACTAGTGTTTACACATGGTAGGGTCTGGGTTCTCACCAGCTCACCAGCTGAACACTACCCCATTTCTGGGGCTAGACCAGGCATTCCATTTATCCCATAGGCAACAGAACTTGGAAACTTACTCTTAATAGTTGGCTCTGTTTATCCCTCGTCCTTAGAAATGAGGTAAGTGTGAGTTCTGCTTCATTCCTTGTCTTAGACTCTTCCCATTAACTAATGTATCATCTATTTAGTAACATTTCTCAAAGACTTTTGTGGTTAAAACCATTCTTTCCACTAAGCACAACAGTTATGCAAATACTGTTAAGCTTCAGGACTCCTTCGGCGCAGCTGTATGGTGGCATGGTGAACACCAGGAGAGCAGGTAGCAGACATGCTTCCGGTGTCATGCCTGGAATTACGCAGGGCCCTGTCCACAGGTCTTTGACAGACTCTCTTGTTAGTAAGGAATGTTTTACTTGTGAAGTTTTAATTTCAGCGTGCTAGCTGAGCTGATGTGTTGTGTACTGAAAAGGATACCACTTACCTGGGCTAAAAGCAGCATCACACACTGTCCCTGAATGGCATGAAATCTGGTGTAACAAGGTGGCCGTAGTGAGGTCCCAAATATTCACCACACCTTCTTTGGTGCCAGAAACTAACAGTGTGCTTGCAGTATTTAAATTGATGGTATTGACCTAAGAAGAAACAGTGATAAATAGGTGGCTCAGATTCCTCATTAACTGCCTTTTCCAGGCTTCTTAAAATATGCACTACAAGTATTAAAAATTAAACTACCGTGCAGTGAATAGTTGTGCTGGCACAACTACTATGATTGTATTATATTCTAGTAGTGTCTCATCAAATGACCTTTTATTTTAAAGTGAAGTAAAATTCTAAGTATGCTAGGAAAACACAAGTATATGAAATAATATAGGGAGTCGTAGTAAGGCTGTTTTCAAATGGTCTAAGTCTACTGAAAGACTACTGTATCCAGCAAGGGTCTGCCGCAGTTGAAAGAAAAATACTTTCCATGGTTCAAACAGCCTGAAAAAAAAATCCAAAAAGAAACAAAACAAAAAGTACGCTAAACAGATTACTGGGAGCAATACTCTATCTGAGGAGAGGAATAAATGCAGCCAAGTGACTAGAAAGAAAATCAATGAATCCTAATTTAATGATAACTGAGAACACAAACTAGAAAAACAAAATCAAACTGACTATAGTCTACACATCCAAATATTAATGGATTAAAAAAACATTGTTTATTGTCTACAAAAACCCAGTTTGAAAGATAGGCACCATTTCCTTAAAATGAAAGGATGGAAAAAGTTTCAAGTGATGGGATAAAGAAGCACATGGCTTGCCATCCTTAATCTGTGACAAAATAGATTTCACATTAAAACTAGTCACGAGACAATAAAGGCAATTCATTCTAATCAAGGGATCAAGTAGCCAGGAAACTATCAATACTAGACATATATACACCAAACTCTGATGTGCCCCCATTTTATTAGAAGCGTACTAACAAGATTAAAGACACAGACTAATGCAGTAACAATCACAGTCGACAATTCTAGCAACCCACCTTCTCGATAAGATAGGTCATTTGGACAAAAAACGAAAAAGAGAAACCCCAGAATTAAATATTAGTTTCCCTAACATGGTCCTAACATATCTACAGAATATTTTGCCAAAATATCAAATAACTTTCTCTTAATCACACATGGGATCTACTCTAAAAACAGACATGATGCTGGGACACAGAGCAAACCTTTGAAATAATCCCATGTTTCCTATGTAACCATTATAGTATGCACTCACTCATAAGTGGCTTTTTAGACATAAAGCAAAGAAAAACCGGTCTACAGTCCACAGCCCCAGAGAACCTAAATAACAAAGAAGACCCTAAGAGAGACATACATTGAACTCTATAGGAGGAGAAAAAGGACGAGGGGGCTCCAGCTGGGGAGGGGGGCAATACAGAAGAGACGAGGCACAGATAACAACAGCTGTTTGATAATGCCTCAAGGAATCATATTACCTATATTGACATTAAACTGTATGCAGCACATAAGTGTATGTGCACATACACATGAAGTTAAGCCACCTGGACTGGCAATGCTCCCCACAGGAATCATATACTAATGAATGCTCAAGTACCAAGCATGAGAAATTGCCTACTGCATGGTCATGGTAGTCCAAATGACTCCCCAAACAATACAGACTCTGGATGGAGTTCTTGGTGTCTCTCACGGGTTGAAGGTAGGGTAGGCCCTTCTTCCTGAAGACATTATACTTGCGGACACAGAACTCGGAGAACTTGAGCTGGATCTGACCTGAAAGCCTCTTTCCTGCTGTCTAGCTTCCTTGGGTCCAGAAATTACTACGCAAGTTGCTAAGGGAAGGAAGCAATTAAAGTCTTTTTTTTTTTTTTTTTTTTTAGCAATTAAAGTCTTAACAAGCTGTAACACCTAGGAACCAAGCCAGTTACCAGCGCGGTATGATAGGCACAATAAATGGCCCTCATATCAGCAGCAACCAACAGCTGTCTAATTGGATTTAAGGCCATTTAACAGGAGGAAAAGCATCCACGGTACATTCCCAAATTAGCCAGCTTCTTGGGACTAGTGAGGTCATGGACTTCAGAAAGTGGTCTTCACTACCACTTTGATATCCACAGATAAGCATAATTCCACTCCTCATGAAAGAAGCCCGTCTTTACAGCAAATAGAGACCAGCACAGAAAACCACAACTGTATCTCACAATGATTCTGAGATTAACAGATTGTAGGAACCCAGCCCCTCTGGTCACATCTGCATTACAGTTCCTGAGTCCATGGCTCCAGGACCCCGGAGGAAGAGAGGACAGCAAGAGTGTAAGTGTCAGACTACCAGGGAGGCAGCTGTGAAATGGTCTCTCTCAGAAACAGCTACATAGACCAGACTGCATCAGGGGACATGCTAACGCAGAGAAGGGACGACCTGACAGGCTCTCACAACGAGACGGCTCGGAGGAGGAGAATGAACACATACACATACATATGTGTGTAGATAATAAAACCTGTATTAGCAATAAAAAAGAAAAAGGCCACTACCTGGAGAGTGGAGGCACTTGGTAGGGGCTCAAGGGATGTTAGGGATGAAATGTAGGCAAGAAGGTGATATAATTCTATTGTAATTAAAAAGTTAACTCTGAATAATCTATCATACTGAGGTGGCAAACTACTTGAAGCAGGCTGAGCCATGGCTGTATATGGATGCTTTGTGGAATGAAGGATCTCTCCATTTGAATACCATCTTGAATTGCATACTAAAAGTCTTCAACCTCATATCTGAAAACCATGAAAACGCAGCATCCATTCACAGCTTCTGGAAAATGCAGGGCTGGAAACTATAGCCCAAGACATAGCAGCATGACTCAATAAACCACCAGTAACAAGTTCTAGTTTGGTTCTGCTGCTAGGCAGTGCGTTCTTGGCCATCCCAGATACCTCTCAGTTTTCTCAGCTTTGGGATAGTTATCTCCAGAACAGATGGTTCCTTCCACCTTCTAGGTCAGAAAGCATGAGGATAATGGGTCCTACCTCAGAACTGACATTTTGAAAATTAATTGGGACAGAATTCTGCTAATTCTCTCAGGTAAATGTGCCAAGGAACCAACTAGAGGGGTGCTGTGTAGTGACAAAATGCCTCTGCGCTGGCTTTTGCCTGCTAAAGGATTGGGGTTAAAGCTTCCTGGAGCAAAGCCCCAGATGGTCCCCCTGACAATCAGTGGTCAAGATAGGACCTAATGCCATAGGCAAATCTCGTATCTAAAAATGGCCCTAAGAGCAAGCCCTCCTAACACCTTGCCTAATCTTTCTCTGTATTTCTTATCCTTCCTGTTTACAGCTGACTGCTTACCAAAAAATCAAAGTACGTCCTTGGCTCGGCTCCACCGTTCATTAAAACAGTCCTTAAAAAAATAAAATATGCCCCACGCCACATGAGCCTAAAAAACTTTATTAATAATAAAACAAAAACAACTAAAGTTAAAATATTACAAAAAAATCGTCATAATAAATCAGATTTAAAAAAAATTTAAAAAAATTCCCCAATACACTCTTCCCGAAAAATATAATTCACTTCCTTATACAAGAGCCTATGATGAGTTTAAAAATAGATGGGTTAATGTTGATGGACAAAGACTGTTATATTATACTTTCAACTTTATAAATAGGCTTGCTAGATCCCAACCCCCATGATGTCTGCCACATAAAAAGGTACTAAAAAATATAGTTCAACAGATACAAAAAACTTATTAGGTATATTTGGTCACTAGATAAAATAAAGGGTTAAAAAAAAAAGGGCCATGATAACAATAATAAAACAAAAACTTTCTGTTCATAAGATGTAACCACTTGCCTGAGGTTTACAGTCCCAAGGACAAGAGTTCCTCTTCTAAGATTTACAGTCCCAAGGACAAAAGTTCCTCTTCTGAGGACACTTTGTGTCTAACACCTGTTCCTGATAATATACTTTTCTTAAACATTGCTAATGTGACTAAAAAAAGCCTTCATACTGTGCCAGCTAATGATACATAACCTTCTGATTTGTTCTTTGTTTAAATACTATATAATAAAAACATAAATTCAGTAAAATCACAACAGATTCTCACTACACAATGTGTCTGTCATTCCCTTGCGTCGTATCCTGGCTATCCTATCCTTCAACTCTGTCCTCCCATGGATAACAGTCTCACAGAAGGACGGTCCGTGGCAGAGGGGGGAAGGGAAGCGGAATCAAATACCTAACAGGATCACCCAAAGAGCTAGCCTATCATCTCTAATGTGCAAACGAAAGCAAAGGAGAAAACACACAAATCCAGGTACTTACTGCCCACCCACCCTCTGGACCTAGAGCTTTGCTGTGGGACTCACACTGACATCATGTTCCAGCTCGGCCAGCAAGTCAAACTGGTGTCTTTTAGTGCCTGGCATTTCTGCAGGAACACCGGACCACACCTAGGACAGAGCACACCACACGAGGTATTTTTAAACTTGGATACACAGTCCTCCACACATTTGCAGGATACTCCCATCCAGCATGCCTGCCCATGGAGCCCGTGGGCTTCTTCCCTGCAGGTCGACACATGCCTCTGTCACACCCATCCCTTGAACACGGCACTCTGTGTTGTGTAAGCACTGGGAATCAAGGGAAGGCTGAATGCACAGGTGCTTCAGGAAGTGGGTGGCCAAACCCCTAATGATATTATGTACAGGAAACTTATCTATAAGGCTGGAGAAAAAATTATAAAATTCAGACAAACACTGTAAGAAACAATGGTTTTGTTTCTTTCCTGTACACAGAATCGATCTGGACACCTAAGGTACAGAAAGAGCACTGGAGCGGCTTGTATGGGAAAAGCACAAGGGAATCTGAAGAGAAAGCTGGTGACCCTGCAATACAGAGACAGCGAGAACACACGGATGCATGTTCCACACTGAAATACACTGATCTTTCAATGATTTCTCAACTTAACTTGCACTGTTAGAATTAACTGATCAACTAGGAGGGCTCCATTCTGTGTCAATCAAACAAGGGCTCCAATTCTGTTTCTGAAGACCTAGAAACGTCTGTGTGAACACACTGCAGCAGCACACAGTGGGATGCTATTATTGAAGACACACACGTGTATTGAAGAACATAAGAAACCAAGCTGGAACTTAGCTGAAAATTTCTTCCCTGGTGGCTAGCTTTCAGGGCCAGCCACTGGGGTAGGGTGGATCATGAATGGATTTGTCCAACAGTGGACCCTGCGTGTTGTTAGACTGATGTGCCTGCTGTGTACAATAATGGCTTCCCAACCGGATCTGAAGCCTACTCCACAGGAAGGGATTCATGGCTTGTCCTATAAACCTGGTCAAAGGTCCACGGCTGGGGAAGTCCTGGGCCTTAGGTGAAAGCCGATTACTGCTGTTTTCTGAACAGTCACATTGACAGTCTGCTGCCCACCTCTTTATGTTTAGACCCATAGATGGGTGCTGCTCTCAGCCTTGGTCAGGGAATCTGCTTCCTGCAGTCAGAAACATTAAGTGCAGACACTTCTAACTGGTGAAAGTGCTGAGTATAAGTGACTACTGATTGCTCGGTCCTTCACGGGCATTCACACAGCACCCAGTGCCGAGTCTGCAGAACGGGAGGAGCGCTCTGAGCTGTCTTCTGGGTAGGACATGGCTGCTGCACTCAGGAACTCCCATCTGCTGTGCCTACCTGCGTGAGACGTCCACAACCTTCTGAAAATGGTGGACAGGAGATGCCTCACGAGGCTCTGTCCCTGCTAAGCAGTTAGTGACAACTTTCTGGGGTAGGGGTGTCATTTTCCTTTAGGAGTGTGGCATCTGATAGGCTACCCAAGCTCTGTGGATGACCCACACCCATTCTGCCTGCAGGTAACACTAACTGGAATCTAGGTTTAAAAAAGGAGGAGGAGTTGAAGGTGGGAGGGGAAGCATTGCGAGAGTGAAAAGGAGCAGATGTTTGTGCTGGATATGATCAAGACACATTATATGCATATGTAAAAGTATCAGAGAATAAAAAAGATATTTGGAAGAAATGCACAGTATACAGGCTTTAAGAAAATGCAATAATAATGTATCCTTGTATATCAATTACATACTGTCTGAACATATTGAAGGGAAGCTGAATATTTCATGATCAAACATTTTCAGTTAAAAAGTATATGCAAACCTTTACGGTAGAGTCCCACGATGCAGAATACAGCCTGTCGTTATGCCAACAGATCTTGCTGACAGCATCATCATGTCCCATCAATGTGTCCTGACGTCTTCCGAATGCTATGGAATAAAAATAGCTAAAAGATAACAACAACTATTAAAATAATAGCCAGGCTTAATTTTAAGACTTTTAAACATACATTGAAGAAACAAATATTATTTCTAAACTGCTAATGTTTACTTGAATTACAAATTGCTTGTTCTTATATTAGTAAGGGAAAACATTCAACATTTGAATTTGAAATTAGATTACTTCCAAATCTGTCTTAGCTACATTTCACCTGAGTTTAAAAGTCAGAAAAAATAGGTCCTAACTGGAGAAATTATTATGTTAAAATAATGGCATTTGAACCCAGCGACAGTCCTCATGTCTAATGTTTCCTCTAGTAGAGCCTTCTTATCCCTCACATCCACACGGGAGGCAGCCGCTAGGCATGCGGCATTAATTACGAAGACGCAGGCAAAGATACATACACGTTGTTATCCCAGGAAGAACTTATGACAGTGGTGTCTCCTGGCAAAAGTAAACAAGATGATAGAGCCTGAAATACAAAAGATTGGATATTAATGACTTGCAATAATTAGTAAACTCTTTACTGGTATACCTCTCTTATGGATGCCTGCCAAACCAATGTCAGACTCTTTCTACAGTGGCTTTCCTCATAGCTACCAGGGCTCAGCGTGGCCAAATCCAGATGTATGGTTTTCTCCTAAACGCTCAGATTTGTCAGGAATACTGTGGCCCAGCCTGATGCTTCCTGGGCTCCCACAGGGCTGGAGGGATGTTGCTGATCTGGAGTGGATCATGGTAGGTGGATGGTCCTTAAGGATGAAATGCTCTCTGTGTAGTGCAGAGATGCGACTACGGAAAACATAACGTTCTTAAGGAAATTTCAAAATCTCTTGGAGTGTTGACATTAGAAATAAGGCCCAATTCTTTAATAACTGGTTTTATTTTCCCTAAGTAATCAGAAGTGCCTAAATTATTTAAGTAGCACAGAAATATTTCTTTTCTGATAGCTAAAAGGAAGGATAAACTTTTTAAGGAGAATTTTTCTGGGTATTCAAGATTGTACCTTAAAATGAAATCACACCAGTATGAGAAAGAAACAGGCAGAAACTGGACCTCCTTTATTCCTTCCTGCCAGCCTCCCTCTCTCCCACCCCCAGACCCAGGACCTTGCATGCACTAGGCAAATGCTCAAACACAGAACTACATCCTAGACTCCATGTGTTTTAGTGTAACTCTAGTAAAATAAACTTACCATATTTGAAAATGATATGCTTCTTTGTAGCATTTTGGATTCCTTAGAAAACATCTTCAGAGTGGAATCTAAGAATTAGAACAGAGATGGAACATTTCCTAAGCATTACAGATGCCAAAGGAGAGCCACCCTACTTACTCTTGAAGGGCAGAAGTCAGTGTCATGCCATGGAAGACTAAGTGTATGCGAGCATCTTGTCAACATTAAGATCCTATGACCTATAACTTCTGAAAGACAGTTGAAACCGTACAATCCCAGCACAGACTTGGTTTGCCACTGACATTTCTAAAGGCCTGCATGCACAGTGCAGTCCACACCCCAAGTGTGCGGGGAATTACGGTGGAGGGACGCAGAGATCTTAATAGTGAAACCAAAGTGTACAGGTGTGCGAGCCTGTATATGTTTGCTTTTTGAATGCATTTACGTGTACCACATGCACGCCTGCAGCCTGTGCAGACCAGCAGAGGGCACTGAATTCCCTGGAACTGGAGTGCTAAATGGTTGTAAACGAGCATGTGTGTGCTGGGAACCAAACCCCTGTTCTCTAAAGAGCAATACTTTTTACACACTGAGCCATTTCTCCAGGCCTAATTTTATTTTAAGAAAACAAAGACTTTGGCAATAGAAGTAATTTTTTAAAATGAATGGCCTAATTAAAGAGTGACATTCTTTTTCTGAATTATTTATAGATGAGAAGTACTTTTATTTTTGTTATTTTTCCTTTTTACCGAGGAAGGAAAATGTTTTGTATATACTCAAATTCCTGACCTCCGCCCCACACAGTCCTGTTCGACTGTTGGACAGAGCAAAGCTGGCATTGAAAAGAAAGGCGGGGTGGAAGATAAACCAAAAGGGAGCGGGCATGGAGCAATGACAGGAGCCGCAGATGTGCCAGCTGAACATTGGAGTCTGCGGCGGAGCAGATGCCAATCAAGTGTGTACACTGGCTGGGAGAACCACTTGCTTGTACAATAACAGCAGTGCAGGGACGAAAACACCCAAATGACTAATTTCCCTGACTAACAGACACTGTGCAAGTTCACCAACAAGACTGTTAAAAAGCCAGAACAGAGGCTCAGTGAAAGAGCACTCCATAGCAGCAAAGACCTGGATGCCATCTCCAGCACCAAAACCAGCCCTCAATACTCACAGCTTAATGTTCCTACAGATATTCTATCATGCAGTAAGCTACTTCCTAAATACCCAACATGGTAGCCCGTCAGAATGAGCTTTTAATATATTTCTTCTCTACAGTGAAACTTTCTTGGCAACAGAATTCATGAAAATTTATAAACAGGAGCCTCAGTAAGTCTTTCCTTATCGCTAGCTTGTGAACAAACACAACAGCACTTAACTGTTCTTTGCAGGGTGTCATTAATCTTGGAACAGCCTCCCAATTTGCTTTTGATCCCGTTAGGCAGTGCTCTGTGCTCACCACAAAGTCTACCAAAGACATTTTGACCATTTTACAGAGGCATAAAGTAGCCAAGACACTTTTCTCCAAACCAAAGGTTCTCCCTGGCACTAGAAGCTGTCAGGTAAAGACAGCAGCGAGCGCTGATGCCCCAGGTGGTAGCCACGAAACCGACGTGCACTGTGCATCTGAGGGGAATTTAACTGTGAGGCCAATATTAGACTGCATATAAACCAGTAACACCGATCATGAAAATCTAATCTGGAGAAATTTAAATTAAACAAAAATACAAGTGTTTGAGTTTAACAAAAATCCTTCCTTTTTACTTGGCAAATTCACAAAGCAGTGGTACGAAGCTTAGTAAGCTGGGGGAGAGACCTGCAACCTTGATGGTCATAACATAAAACACATGGTTTACACGGTCACATGAGTACAGAGATTTGAAGATTTGACAAGCCATGTTGGACAAACCATGCTACGAACCACTAGCCCAGTAGTTCTCAACCTTCCCAATGCTGTGGCCTTTAATACAGTTCCTCGTGTTGTGGTAACCCCCAACCATAAAATTATTTTGTTGTTACTTCATAACTGATTTTGCTACTGAATCATAACAAATATCTGAAAGCGGCTGCCGTGAAGGGTCATCCACCCTAAAGGCGCCACGCCCACTGGTTGAGAACTACTGCACCAGGAGCTCTGTTAAAAGACACAAGTGTTTGGTGGTTGTTTACTGGGTCAACATAGTGGCTAGAAATCTTGGCAGAACACAGATGGCTTCCTTCTTCCCGAGCAGCACAGTAGGTGCCCTGACATTTCTGTGTAGGGTCCTGCATATAACCTTTCCTATACAATCGTTTTGTAGACTTTGTGGAAAATTCTATTTTATGAAATCCAAGGTGGTATATAACAGGGAAAATGAAATGCTACAGCTCACAGGCCACTGTAACAGAATGTGGGAGCAGCGACTCATCTCCCTGGATGTGGGTAGCTGCATAGCATCATTTATAAACATGACTAATGGAAACTACAGTCTCCTGTGCTCATCTAAGACTAAGAAGAGTAGCTTCATGAAAACAATCACTAGCTTTGTCAGACTGGCTGTCCTGACACTGAAACACACTTCTATTAATGATAGAGATAGACATCTAGGAAAACATGTGTGCAGCAAGAGACGAATTTTGCTGTTCTTATAGATCAGCACAGCCAAATTCTAATGGATCATTAAGATATAATTCTAAGTCTTACCAAAAGGCACAGTACATTATCAATATATGAATTCAATGTCATGTTATATCCTACAAAAAAAAAATCGAGAGTCATAAGCTAACAGCAAATCTGCCTTCCACAGCTAATGTGTACCACCACCCTGGCAGGTCAGGTTTGGCTCAGCCCTGGCTACGCCTCCATGCCATTCTGAGTTCTGCACGCCACAGAACCTCTTGCAGTAAGTTAGCCTGGAGTAAGCAAGGCCATGGCCAATGGACTCTTCCTGACTTGTGTCTTCATTCAGGAAACCTTGTCAGCATCAAGAAGCCTTTCCTTTTTTGCAACCTACAACAAAACTTTTCTAAGCCTATTTTATGTGGAAGCAGCACGTGCCAATGCGTAAAGCTCAGACACTGATTCTACCTAAACAGCTTTTTGTAAACTAAGACTACTTTTGTTTCCGGCTGCTCAGACCCGAATAATCACACAGAAACTATAGTATTTACAATACTGTTTGGCCAATGGCTCAGGCATATTCCTAGCTGGCTCGTATATCTTAAATTTGCCCATTTCTATTAATCTGTGTACCGCCATGAGGGTGTTGCTTACCAGTAAGATTCTGGCATCTTTCTCCTTTGACAGCAACATGGTGTCTCCTTGACTTCACCTATTCTCTCTATACATTTGGATTTCCTGCCTTGTTATATTCTGCCCTGCCATAGGCCAAAGCAGCTTCCTTATCAACCATTGGCAATGAAACACATTCACAGCATACAGAGGGGAATCCCACATCAGTTTTTCAGGCAGGAAAACATACCTTGTGATGTGGTAAAGACTGAAGACCCATTGCAAGACACTGCTATCCCTGTAACTGCCCTGTTGAAAATCGAAGTTTTATAGATTATCATTAGCCATGTGCTGGGGCACCTGCTTTATTTTTCCTAAGCTCCCTTCATTTTGTCTTCATGGCTCTTTCACTTGGATTGTTCTCTGCGTGTCCCTGCCATTGCATGCCATTGCTTGTTAATGCCCACTTTGCTCAGGCAGACAACACCCTGCTGCTAGCAAACATTCCTGCTCTTTGCTCCCCAAAACTACTGCAGACGATGCTGAACCCTACCATCCCACCTTATCTGACTGTACCCAAAATAACGGCACTTACTCTTCACAACCGCTTAGCTAGCTTTATTCAGAATACACTGTCCCTAATGTCTGCCAATGGTGGGCACATGGTTCTAGTGGGCCCTTTCAAACAATATCCAAGGCTCAGCCACTTTACTTGTAGAAATACAGTTTATTCACACCTTCACCATCTTTTCGGGGACCACATGGCCTCTTCCTAGGTGCCTTTCTGGAAGTTGAGGGAAGACAAGCTAATCTAAAAGATAAGGTAGAACTGGCTCTCTATGTTCAAGATGCTGTACTCTACTGTGATCCACACCTCAGGCATTCACACACCCCAATCTACTCAGGACCAGCAGAACATATAGCAACCACTTGTGCAGGACTGCTGACAGCCATGGGTGTACCAGTGCCAGAGCTAGGCTAGGTTCTTTATGAAGCAGGCTAGCCCATTAGAGCAGCCTCTTAGCTTCCCCACCATGGTACACGAGCATCCTCATCAGAGGAGACACGGGAGGCTTCCATCCACAAACCCAATATTCTTGACATCACAGGTGTCATTTTAACAATTATGTAGGTTTTACAATGCACGTACTTGGTTCTCTCCCTCCCTCTCTCCCCGCCTGTCTTTCCATCGTTCTGCACAGCCCCTTCCCTCACCCTGTGTGACTTTATATCTTACAATGCCTCTTTCTCCACCCATGAGTTATCATATCTTATAAAAGATCTGTCAATTTTCCACTCATCCATACATCCACTCACCCACCCACATTTGTTATAAATTTTTGCATGTAAATATATGTGTGCTATACATGTATATTTACATTTCCATGTCTATAGGAGCACATGTCTGCATGTGTATGTCTGTGTGTGCATGTGGAGTCCCAAAGTTGACCTTGGATGTCTTCCTTGATGTCTCTCCATGCACTTTACTGAGGAAGGACCTCTCGCTGAATCTCTGGCTAGCCAGCTTGCCCAAGGATTGTCTCTGTCTCCTGAGTTCCAGGATTACAAATGGCCAAGATACCTGCCTGGCTTTTACGTGGGTCCTGAGATTACAGATGGCCACTGTACATGCGCAGCTTTTATAGTGCTTTATCCTGTGAGCTACCTGTTAGTCCCATTATTTTTTTAAAGGTGTACTTTTTACTACACTATCAGTAAATCCAAAGCTTAATGACAGACATGCTTGTCTCACAATCCCCCACTTTTTAAGATTTGAGGGGTGGTATATATAGTCTAGAAATACAAAACTACAGCCTATTCTAGAACAGTGGTTCTCAACCTGTGGGTCGCAGATTTGGGGTCAAATGACCCTTTCTCAGGGGTCACATATCAGATATACTGCATATCAGTTATATACATTACTATTCATAATAGTGGCTAAATTATAGTGATGAAGTAGCAACAAAATAATTTTATGGTTTGGGGGTCACACAAGATGAGGAATCATATTAAAGGGTCCCAAAATTCGGAAGGTCGAGAGCCACTGTTCTAGAACAACATATGACAGAAAGGACAGTAGGAAAGAGCATGGGAACAAAACTACCCGTTTCATGCCAAATTTTCCTTTGCTACAATGGCTCACATCACAGATCACTGCAGACATTTTCCAGGCTGGACACCAATGACGGCAACACTGAGTGGACACTTCCCATATGACTTAGGCTTCTACAGCTCCCCCACACCCAGACCCCAGTTTTACAGAGACCAGAAGCATGAGGCCCTCTTACTCTTTGTGGATTTTGTACTGTTCATGCAGCTGCAACTTGGTGATGTTATTCCAGGCCAGGCTTCTACTTTCCTCGGTCAGGTCTTCGAATGACTCCTCTGCTGGAGAGACTGCATGAAACCAGGGCTCAGTGAGTCAGTAAGTCATGGAAAAGCAACTGCATCAGACTCGCTGTGTTTTCTATTACAGTAAAAGAAAGGAAAACAAGCTGCCCTCCAAAATAGGCATTCAAAGGTACTTATGGTATAACCCAAGGTTAGCCAAGAACAAATCAAAAAGTTTAGTTGAAAGCCCCAGGCTTTCAAAGTCCTGACTAGTTGCTTAGGCATCATGGGAAATTAAGGTCTGAGTGGCCATTTCTCCTTCTCAGCCTTTCCCTTTGTAGAGCCCGACAGTTGCCTACGAACGCTGAAGTATTATTTGGGTTTTGAGAAGGAGAAATAAAATAAGAAATCAAGTAAGACTTCTGGTTCTTCAAAGCGTTTCTGGGCAGAAGTAATGTGTAATGTTCTCGCTTCTGCAGAAGAAAAGCTGGAGTAATTACCCTGGTTTAAAGGTCACGATGGTGGTTAAGGTTGAGTAAGGGAGGAATACAGCATTGCTGACTTAACCCTGTATGCCTTCAAGGAATATTTCCAGCTGCTCCAGGTCAAGTCCTCACAGCAAAGTGCTGGAAAGTGAGCTTAGCTCCTGCTGCAGCAACCCTGAAAGCCTCAGCACGCATGGGTGTCATGAGACAAAACTGAAGAAAAGGAAACGCTTTGTTCATGTGTGCTGTGTGCTGTCACATGGCTCCTCACAGGAGGCTCTGTGACTATGGAATGTGCCTACGTGGATGAAGGTGCGGGATCGTGCATCTTAGCAGCCGCCATGGCCCGGGTGGACGAGATACTCTACATGCATCTGCCACATGTTAATGAGAAAAATAAATGAGAGAGAGAGAAAAAAAAACAAGTTTAGCAGCAAAGTAGTTTGAACTGAATTCAAGTTTTGTATGTGGGTTTGGTGGAGTCCAGGCCAGGGGAAGTCCTCTCTAGGACAGTATGGAGCAGGTGGTTGTTGAAGCAGGCATGGCAGGGAATGTGTGTCAGACAGACACTGAGTGTCAACTTCAAAATCACAGCATCGGAGGCTGTGACAATCACGGTCACAGCCAATGACCATTTCTCAAAGTTTACAGTTACAGACAACCGTCAACAAAAACAGGAGGAGAAGAAATATGTTTGTTTTGTGGTGCTCAAGGCTGAGCCCAAGGCCCCCCCGCACATCCTAGGAAGGTGGAGCTCTGCGACCGATGCAGACATCTTCGGCAACTCGGCAGTTTGTTTCATCTCAGCCTTGTCAGGAACTCGCTAACCACGGGGGACACAAAGGCCCTTGCTAAGCTTACACCTACTCTTCACAGGACTCACCTGGGGAATCTGTCACAGACACATTATAGCTGGAGGCTTGGGACACACTTTTGAACTTGGTGGTGATCCTTCGAGGATGCGGTGTCACAAACAACTGTTTTGGTGTCTGCCCAAATTCCAAAATTTGGGTCAGCATGGCTACTTTCTCATCAGGATCCTCGATGCTTTAGGAAGAAACACAAAAGACACAGTAAATCACTAAGTCCCTAAAGCGTGAGCGTTAAATGGTGCAGATCAGCTGGGAGACAGAACCTCAAGTAAAAAGTCACCACAGGCGAGGACTAACCCTCTTCATATACCTTTACATAATATTTTGTTTGTTTTGTTTTGAGACAGGGTTTCTCTGTGTAACCTTGGCTGTCTGTCCTGGAACTCACTCTGTAGACCAGGCTGGCCTTAAACTCAGAGATCCACTGTGCCTGCCTTCTGAGTGCTTGGATTACTATTGCCGGGCGGTGGTGGTGAATGTCACATGTGTAAGGGTGGCAGAGAAAGGCGTTAGATTCCTCAGAGCTGCAGTTCCAGGGAGCTCTGAGCTGCCCAACGTGAGTGCAAGGAATCAAATTTAAGTCCTTTCTGAGAGCAGCAAGAGCTCTTAATGCTGAACCATCTCTCTGTTCCCTGTTTTCTGTGTCTTAGCAACTAACAATATTGAAAACAGGATACAAATCATTTCAAAATTTCTATACCTTAAATTCTCAAATAAGTGCATTAATGATTCAGATAGCAGTGTTTCATAATGAAGCAGAGACACCTTACAGACTCACACATACCTGTTTAAGTCTACACCACCTTCATAGGTCAGGGGATGAAATACTGAAGGAGAGATAGAAACACTATTGAAAAAGCTTACATTTAATTATAAATACCCTGTCCAGAATCTGAACAACTCAGAACTGTATTCAGAGAAATTCACTTTGGTGTGTGAAGCACTGATATGCACACAGTGAAGATGAACTTGCACTCTATCTTTTGGTGAACAGCGATGACAGTGGCAGCTGGGGTGGGCTGTTGTCTTCCTTGGCTAGCATTACTTTCTCCCGAGCTCGGGGAAGCATTAGTCATAGCACCGGCGTGACTGCACTTCACGTGAGTCACTTCTGGATTTCAGTGCGAGTTCCTCACTACTGACAGAAAGACTCAGAAACCCGAGGCAGAAGAGGCGGACAGCGGCCACCTTTCTTCACACTTAAAGCAAAATCGGCCCTTTGTAGCCATCAAAGTCACTGCTGTGTAACAGATTCGTTTGGTTTGTAGAGCCCAGACCTGCAACCCAGACTCGTCTTGAGCTCCCTGAGCACTAGGTCTCCAGCTTGTTGTCTGCCTTCCTGCATCTCACCACACACCGAGGGAAACGCCAGCCAGTGTCACGTACCGTTGTGGGCTCCTACAGCCTCACTCCCTTTTTGCTTATAGCCAAATATGAGATCAATCCACTCGTGAAGGTGCTCGGAGACATAACTGCTTTCCAAGGCGGCCTTGTTCTTCTGGAGGAAGTCCTGGGGACCTAGTGGGGTAGACTGCATCAGAATGTTATGTCATCGCTGTTTAATTGTCTTTCATTTCTTGCACCCATCTATTTGTGCATAAAACTTCTAGAGATAAGAGATATGTGTTTCTATATTTTTCTTTTAAAGACATACATATCTCTAATGAGTTTTATTATTCATCTTACATACTTTTACCTAGAAAAAGTAGCAGAAGCATTTTTATGACATTTGGGTCTATCAAACATATAGATGTCTTTACAGTGTAGACACAGCATACTTTTGATTGGGATAAACAGATTCCAGCTCAGTTAAGTAGGTATTCTTAGAAGCCACAAGCAATCCAACACAATGAATGACATCATAACTTGGGAGAGCACGCAACAAGATGCACCGCCATGCCGCAGGAGGCACTCACTTGAGGCCCATGCTGGAAGCTCCACGTCATCAACCATCTGTCCTCCTTGTCTCTTTCCCAGGTCCAGCTTCAGACTATTGACTAAAAAGCTGACTTCGTCGTCATAAAATTCCGGGATCAACTGCAGGTTGGGAGGTGGGGGTAGAACATGTTTTTACAGCGTTGAGAAAGCGAAGCCCGTGGGTCACCAGCTCCCTGAACTGCTCACCTCTTTAAAATCCGTTGCGCCATCCAAACAGTTTTTCCAGGTTTCTGCAATACTAGATATGAAAGAGTGATGCGCTCATGAGCAGCCTGAGCTACGGCAGCAGCAGCTTTGCTTGCTCAGTGTCCTCCCAGTAACACCCTCTGTCTAGGCTCCTGCGCTCAAGCTTTCTCACTGACTAGGATTTTAACACGCATGTGAGGCCCCGCCCCTTGACCTCAAAAGAAAAGTGTGGCCAGGGGCTGGCAGAACTTCACTAGAATCACAGGAGAGTGAAGCAAGCCCGCACTACCACATGCACGATGCCCCATGGAAGGGCATACCACACCGCCCCAACCAATACATGTACACCACACATGCACACCAGCTTATCCAAGGGGCACATCCTCGACTAGTGCAACTCTCTGTGGCTCCAGAAAAGTGTATGGTGAAACAGAAAGGGACTTTGCTTCCTTTTTTTATTCTGGGAAGCAAATGCTAATCATTCAAATGTGTAAGCCAATTTTAATGCTTTCACCATAGCAGAATTATCAAGAAGAATAAAATTTGGGTAGACAAATTTAATTGCCCAATAGAGAATAAGAGTTTAAGTAAATTGTGGTATATTCTAAAGCATGACACAATAATTTTTTAAAGTCATTGTTTCAAAATATTCTTCTGAGTATGAAAAAGAACTGCTCAGGCTACACAGGTCAGGAGAAAAATCTATATTTAAAAATCTGTCCCTAAACCAGGTGTGGTAACATACACCCTTAATCCCAGCACTTGGGTAGCAGAAGCAGGCAGATCTCAGAGTTCAAGGCCATCCTGGTCTATAGACTAAGTTCTAGACCAGCATGGGCTATACAGAGAAGTCTTGTCTTTAAACAAAAATCTGTTCCTAGGGCTGGAGAGATGGCTCAGTGGACCTGAGATCGATTCCCAGCACCCGCATGGTAGATCACAACTATCTGTGACCCCAATACCAGGACATCTTCTGGTTCCTGTAGGCAGGGCACACACATGGTACACACACACACACACACACATATGTAGTCAAATGCTCAGACATAAAAAATAAATTAAAAATAATATAAAAACATGTTTCCCTATATACACATTATTAAAGCTTGAAAGAAAGGACTTGTTTATGAGACAGGGTCTCACTACAACTTGGCCATCCTGGAATCTCTGTAAAGACCAGGCTGGCCTGGAACTCACAAAGATCCACCTGTTTCTGTCTCTTGAGTGTTGGGGTGAAAGGTGTATGTCTTCAGGCCTGGTTAGGCTTTATATTTCTGCATTTTTGTTATATCTAGTATTTTAAACCAAGCATACTGTACATATATGATCAGAAAGTGTTCAAAATGATGAGGTGTTTTATCAAACCTGTTGAACATCCTATCTGCATTATCAAATCTTCCATTCTGTAGACACAGCATATACTCCGGTGCTAGACGGGGGGAAAACCAGGGTTAGATCTGACTGTGGAATTGTCTGAGAATCCAAGTGAAACGGTGGGTGACGCCGGAGCCTTACCGATCCTGACGAGGTAGAAGAGCACATAGCCCGGCGAAGAGTAGTGGCTCCCATACATGAACTTCGGCTCGGGCATTTCCTGGTATCGCGTCTGCAACGTAAGAACAAAGAGCTACGTGTTTGTTACCCTTGAGACAGTAACTGAGGTGAGGTGTCAACCCTGAGTGGAGCTCCTGACACGCTGTTCCTCATCCCTTCTCCTAGTAGTAGCAGAGGGCCAGCGAGCAAGCATCCAGGACGAGCAGATAAGCATTCTCGTTCTCTAGGCTTTCGCTGCCGATGGCGCCGACATCCAACAAAACAGAATTGTGTGCACCTCTTTTGCAGTTTATCAAAGATTTTCTTCATAAAAATAATTGAAGCTTCCCAAATTAAAGACAAAGACAAACACACAGAAACAGTGAGCTGCTGGTTACGGCAGGAAAGGGCTGAGGACTTCCTGCCACAGCACACCTAAGTCTAGGGGCGGAGCTTCAGTCACTGAGCAGGCATAGGCAATGATCTGTGAGGTTGCTTAGAATCCACGAGCCCCACATACACACCAGCAGTCTCTCCAGCCGTTCCTGATTTAAGGCGCCCACTGGCTTACTAAGATCTCGGAAGGTTTCAGGATTCGACAAATCTGTAAACATAAACACAATGACACGAGCCAAGTTCACACTTGTTCTATGAAGTCATTTTAGGAACGGAGATGAATCCACAAAAGTCAGAACCTATGTTATCTATACAGCTGCAAAACAAACAAATAGACCCTCACTCAAAAGTAACGTCTGCAGTGTGAGATGCCCAGAACAGACTTTCTGTAGCAGACCAGATGGATCTGTGGGTAAATACACCTGCCATGGAAGCCAACAACCTGAGTTCAGGCCCTGGGAAGGAAAGCACTGACTCCTACAGGTTGTCTGACTTCCACACAGGTGTACCTTGGCACATGTGCACCCACACACCCAAACCCCCATACACATACAAATAAATAAATCATGTCATTTTAAAGTACTTTCCAATAAAGAACAAAGGAAGCCCAATTCCAAGGACAACTACAAACACAAACTTTTAATCTATCTTCTTCCATTAAGGTTTACTTTCTATGTCTAAACTACAGTGACATTAGCAAATACACATTATTTTTTTATTTTTTTTTTTTTAGACAAGGTTTCTCTGTATAGTCCTGGCTGTCCTGGAACTCACTCTGTAGACCAGGCTGGTCTCGAACTCACGAAGATCCACCTGCCCTGACTCCCAAGTGCTGGGATTAATGGTGTGTGCCACCACCACTCAGCTACATACATAAAATTTAAAAACCCAGGATTTGGAAATCATCAATGAATTACATTCTTATATCTGTAGACAATTTGTTATCACTTTCAATGACAAAGACTCAACTCACCAAACTGTCAAAAAGAACAACTTGATCATAATATATAATTTTAAAGAGTTATGATATAAAATTACAATACTATCAAATTTTAGAAGCATTATTTAGGGAACAAGAAAGAAGTTCTGATGTCATAAAAAAAAGAAAGTGTTGACAGTCCTGAGTGTCGGTGTGAGGGGACCGAGAAATGCCTACATTAGTAAGATGTTTCTGAGCGTGTCTTCACGTGCATCTCCCGAGCCAATCAGACGAGAAGGGCTCTTACCTGATGGACAGATTGATCCTTTAGCTGGTTTACTATACAATGTCAGTACTAGCAAGCGTGAGAAAGGGAGGAGGAAGGCCCCAGAGGCATGTCTTCCAGCTTACATCCTGTCCTAGCCCTTGGCGCTATTCTCTGCCTTCTGCTACCCTGCTTCCAGGTGCTGCCTGATGTCCTTGCCTTTGAGATCATAGCTAAGACCAATCTTCCCACCTATACTGTGGCAGTCTTGGGTATTCTGTCATGGTGACAACACAGAAGCCTGCTGAGTACCGCTACATCTCAGAATCCTACTGGGGATGACTTCCATTTCCTCCTGTGGTTAGTGGACAGCTGATTCTTTCATTAAAAGTTTCAATGTGAATTTAAAATAACAAACTAACTTAAAAATTTCAGTGAGAAATTTTAATATTTCAAAACTTGGCAGTTACACACAATAATAGGAAGATTGAGTTAAAATTATGCACACATTTCCTATGTATAACCTTCACGAAGTGGTGAACACACATAAAACACTATTTATACCACATCTGCCCGATATTTTGAAATGGAATTGGCGACCTTTAGTGAGAAAGCTGAAGTGAGCTCTATTTTGTTCCTCTAATCTGACATGCTATAAAATAAAGCGCACCCTCCCGCTGGGAAGCAGGTCCTCACCAGGGCCCACGCAGGACAGTGCTCACCTAACTCCGGGCTGGAGTAGTCATTTATTATCCACGGAAACACAGGGTACTGGGAGAGGTCATTGCAGCTGCGGTCGGCCAGGTTGTTGAGGTGGAGCAGGTACTGGTAGTTGGAAAGGTGCCCTCGCTGCCACTGCAGCATGTAGCTCTCTGCGGTGTGCTCCGTGGCGTGGTTCTCTGCGGGACAGGGGTGGGGCCGTCACAGTACTACAAGGATCACCAGCGAGCTTCTACTCAGTGTGAAGAGCTAGCTTCTATCTACTTAGTGTGAAGAGCTAGCTTCTATCTACTTAGTGTGAAGAGCGAGCTTCTGCTCAGTGTGAAGAGCTAGCTTCTGCTCAGTGTGAAGAGCTAGCTTCTGCTGAATGTGAAGAGCTAGCTTCTGCTCAGTGTGAAGAGCTAGCTTCTGCTGAGTGTGAAGAGCTAGCTTCTGCTCAGTGTGAAGAGCTAGCTTCTGCTCAGTGTGAAGAGCGAGCTTCTGCTGAGTGTGAAGAGCAAGCTTCTGCTGAGTGTGAAGAGTGAGCTTCTTTAGTGTTTTTAAAGTGTCTGTGGATGTGTTTTCACAAAGATCCAGATAAAGAGGTTATTAAGTCTACTGAACTACTATCAAATTCACTCCCAAAAACTATATAAAAAGCTATTAGACTATGGAGTGGACATATAAGTATTGTGTTGCAATGGCTGGCAATTACACAATAATAGATTCTATCAAATGTGCCAAGTTTTGGTGACTTTTTACAAACCATGGCATATGTAAACACTTCCCCTCATTTTTTTTTGAAGCCAGAACAAAATATTGAACTTAATTTTTCCTAGGTTCTGAAGAGGTGGACTATTGCCAATGTATCAGTAGCTACATATCATCTATAAAATGATATGTAAAAAAAACCCCACAAAACTGCCAAAGAAAAAGGGGGATTTTGTAGGGCTAATTGGTAAACCAGAACCACCAGGAAGGCCCTTGGGAGAAACGGCCTCTCAGTGAGAACTGTGGTTTTAGAAGGGCCGGGATGGAAGGATTTGTCATTTTGTTTAGAAAATTCTGCTTTTCTGAAGCTAAAATCTCTACTGGACGTACTAGCATCTTCACTCCAGTGCTGTTTACTAGGTATGTCTGTATTCTAATTTTACTTCTCACCGAGCTTCTCATTAGCTACCAGGAAAGACTTCAAAACAACGAAGCTTTTCTTTTTAATTCCTAGCTCTTGGAAGCCTTGGGAAAGGCTTGGGCCAAGTTAGGAATGAGCTCAGACAGGAGGAGTGGCAGCTGGGATGCAGACAGAGGGTGTGGCTTTGACTGCAGCTTTAATATTCCCTAAAAGAGTGAGCTTTCTACTGTTGTCTTATCATTTTATAAAAATAAAAGACACCTGGACTCAGAAGAAAAAAACAAACACATACTAAATCTCTGCTCATTCACTATGTTAAAGTCAAGAGCTGATAAACTACTCCAGGCTAAAATGTAAGTCTGCTGGAATAAAATCCTTCCCTAGAGCAAGGAAAGACATCCTTCACCACACATCTGGAGAAGATCTCACTGCACACCAGAGAGAAAGAAACTAGGATGTATAACAAAATCTCAACGTCCATGTAAAAGTCAGTCCTTCCTAGTGACAGGGCGACCATGTAAATCATGAATTTAGTCATATAGCTTAATAAAGAGTCACAGCTGATGAAAATGTGGGGGATTTTTCTGATAAAGGTGGGGAACTGCACATTCTCCAGCAGGACTGAGGCTCCCTTCCTAAAAAAAAAAATAGATTCCAGTAGAAGGGTGTGGGGCCAGGCATGGAGGACTCACCTGCTCCACCCAGTGTGCTGGCTCTGTGGTGAAGAACTAACTAGTGATCACAAACATATCCTCATGTCTTACAAAAACCTCAGTTTTCGTTTTCATAAATTAAATCATGCCATGAAAAAAAAAACCCTTGGGTCCTCTCTGTAACCCACTCAAGTTGGAAGTCATTAAACTAAGGAAGCATTTAAACATATTCATTAAGTGCTTTCAAAACACACAAATGAGCATTAACAAAATGAATTCACATTTCTCTCGTTTGTAGGCTATCATATCTGAGAACAAAGCAAGTACAACTATGGCAAGTAATGCTTCTCTTATTTGCTGCCCAGCCTCTTAGGAGCTGAGCTACCTTCACAGGCACGGACAATAAAGGGAGGCCAGCCAACCTAGGTATGTGGCGATGTAGAAATAGAGGTCGTCTCGGTCTTGAGGTTCATAGAACTTTAGGTATATGTCGGAACACAGGTCGTCTTCCGTGCAAAACACTTCCAAGCCCTAAAAATTCAGAAAGAATAAAACAAATAGCTCCATGTCCATCCTCCAATCACAGAAGTACACGACCTTAAGTCAGCTCAGCATTTATGTGCTTGAGCCTTAGGCCGTGCTTACGTTTACACTCTGACTCAGGACACAGGCCACTATATTCCTGTGTGTTTTCTTATCAACACCTTGAGAACGAGAGATGCACACCAGGAGAACAGTGTGATTCTCTTTAGTACCAAATATGATTACTGACAATAGCTTTTTATTCTGAAATTTAAAATTAGATTGCTAATGAAGCCACATTTCGTTTTGCACATAAATATTTAGCTTTATTGTATAAACTGAATAACTATGAAACAAATTAATAATCAAATAACTCACTCAATGATGGCTATTTTAAAGGACACTATAAGCTGAATGTTCTGGGCCATCTGGGCTGCAGTAGGCCGTCTCAAGAGAAAAGAAAAGAGTCAGCCTCCTGGACATTGTGGTGGCAAAGGAAGACAGGTGACAACCACAAGGAGGGCTAGGGGGTCCTGGGGTCAGGCTCAGGCTGCTGGAACTCAGCAGCTGGGGGAGTTAGGGAGTGAAGTCCTGGGCTGTACTGTACAGAGCTGCAGTGGAAACGGGTAGGGCTAACCAACGTCAATCTCTCCACTTTTTCTCATGGCTCTTCTGTAGTGAGAGCACAAGATTTTTAATAGTATTTGTTTTCTGTGGTTTTCTACTATCATTAGAAATGGACATAAAATACGTAACAAAGTGCTTGAATTTCACAAATTAAAAGTACAAAAATGAGCTAGTTACGATCTGCAAAAGGAAACGAATCTAGATTGGTATCAGTTTAGAACACGTTGGAACCATCTCCTCAGCAGTGATAACTTCTAAGGTGCATTTCTGAGATAAGCTGAGGGAGTGGCGGGAAGAGCCAACCCTTTAATGGCTGTCTCCTCTATCTCCTCCTCCCTGAGCTCAGAGGCGAACTGCTGTGGCTGCTCTGAAGTGCTCTCCTGCCATCCTAAAGAGTTACAGAAGGCTCTTCCCAGGATTACCCTGAGAGCCGGCTGGGCGGCAGCTAGCATGCGCTGGAGGAACAGTGGACTGCTCTCCAGCACTGGTCTAGCCTTAGTCTAGAAGCTCTGGACATTCAGGAAGGAGAAACTCAAGGACTCTCTAGCCCTTTAGCTCTTGAACAAGAAGGTATTTCTGCAACAGAAGCTGTTACTTCCCGAGTTATCTTCTATCAGTTGCCAGCTTCCACATGCCCACATACAGCACACCTGGGTCTTCAGGCCTGCCGCGGGGGCCTGGATGTCGATCAGCCGCCACACTGCAGGTCTGGCAACCTCCCACAGGGAGCTGCCCTGCATCAGTGACCTGAACTCACCAAAGGCATGAGGCCGTGCCTCCTTTTGTAAATGCGCCGGATGTCTTGGAGTGTTATCTGGACCACAGGTTTCTTTAAAAAGGACAAAGGTAGTGTCAAGAGTCACCATTCAAACACAATTAGAAGTTGTTCTTTTGTATCTTACAGCAGGGAGGGAGAGAGCTACACATCCCTGCCTTCCCAGTGTGCTGCAGCTGAACACCTAGGAGAGATCTCGGAACAAATGGTACCCAAGTCACAGTTTACTCTGACATAGCTCTTAGCCCTTCTCAGTAAACTCAGATGATAACAGCACCCTCATCTTTCAGATTAGTGCAAGGGTTAGTGTGTGGTATGGGGCACTCAAAAATGAGTATAAATAACTATTCAATAAGTTTGCTCCTTTAAAACATGTATTTATTTGTGTGTGTGTGTGTGTGTGTGTATCTGAGTGTATGCATGCACCTGTGTGTGAGGGGCTACATGTACCTATTTGTCTGTGTGTGTGTCTGTGTGTGTGTGTATGTCTAGGTGTACGCATGCACCTGTGTGAGGGGGGCTACATGTGCTCTCATGTGTGGAGGTCGGAGAAGGCATCAGGTACCTTCTGCTATTGCTCTTCACCTATTCTTTGGGGCAGGGTCTCTCCTTAACCTTTCTCTACCTGGCTCAGAGCTGAGGTTACAGGTGTGTGGGGGACACCGTGGGCTCTGGGGGTGCTAGGATTCTAGATCTGGTCCCGATACCTGAGGTCACATGCTCTTGAATGCTAAACCATCCCTCCAGCCCTGAGTCTTGATCTAGGATTTACTTTGCACTAAGATCCTTTTTTTTTTAAAAAAAAAATGTTTTTAATTTCCTTTATTACAAAATTTTAAATCTCATAAATTACAATATAAGGCAAAACTTTTTTTTAAAGGAAAATGTTTTCAGTTCTCTAAAACTTGAAAAGAATAGTAAGAGAGAATCAAAATTAGAAGATAGTGTGTGCTCAGCTAAAAGGCAAAGCTTCTATATCCGGGTTCCCAAGTGACAGGAAAACTGGGTTCTGCAACAGTCAGAAAGGCCTTAAAGACCCCAACACAATCCAAGAAGCCTGTCCAGGGATTTGGGAAAAATACACTGTGTCCCCTGAAGCTGTACTGCCAGACATTTTTTCTACAAATTTTTAAACAAAAATAGTAGTAGTAGTAGCCAATATCAGAGAACACCCCAGTCATGTGGCTGACCAGTATGTGCTGCCACCTAGTGGACAGAATCGCTATAACACTTGTCTGTCCAGTTTGAGGCCAATGACTAGCCTGGAGAAGTCCACAGAAAACACTATCTGTGGGTTAAAATGCCCGGTCAAATGGCCCAACCCTGTGACCTAGGGGTCACACAGATCCAGGAGATGTAGCATCTCTCTCTACAGGAGCACAGGCTGGCTGTGAGAAGCTCACATGAGCACTGGAGGAAGACAGTGTCTGTAATGAAGGAGAAGCAGGGACCCGTTTCTCATTCACTCATTCACTGCCACGCTTTCTTGGTGTTTTCCCGGTGCTTCCTAGAAGGATAAATCTCCCTTGATGGGACCAGAATCAGAGTGGTGGCGTTTCTCTACACACTACCAGGAATGAGTCCTTCAGAATGACTGTATGCAGATCAGAGGACACCGCATTCACGTGAGTGTGCACCCAACCCCAGATGGACTGGGAAGCCACACTGCTACACAGGGCTACCAAATGACTGTGACCGCCCCCAGGAAGTGAGGGAAGTAACTCAAGACAGTAATTTTGATGTCAGGTCCTGAAAAATTGAGCTGAAAGACAGAAGCAAGTATATACAGGACCCCATGACCTATGGACTCAGCCTGTGACCTATGCTGTCTTACACAAAAGGTCCTGTGACCTACACACTCAGCGGCCCGTGACCTACATACCGGGTGTCCATTGAGAGGCTGGAAGTACAGGTTGGTGTCTGTGATGCACACGTGTCCCGGATTCGTCACCAGAGGCGTCACCATCTCAGCTTTGCACTCCATATGCAGCTTCTCAGAAACATTTTGGAACCTGCAAAGATGTTTTGTAGAAAAAGTCAGGAAAGTCGAAACCACTGTGTAAATTTGCCTGCTATGCATCTAAACACTACAACTAATAGAAAAAGGTGGGGATATAAACCGGCTGCTTAACTAAGGTTGACAGTCTTTTAGACGGAATAATGGAAGCATGACGTTTTATTAACAGAAGAAGAGTACATCTCACATAAACAAAATCTCTCCCAAAATGAACAGTCCTGAAGCTAGTCCTACATCCATGTAACATCCTGCTTTTACAGTTAAGACCTTGCAGAGCACAGATACCCTCCTGCTACCCCAGCACTGTGAGGCTGACCCAGGAGCACCCGGAGTTTCAGAGCAGCCTAGGCTACTGAGCAAGACCCTGTCCACATTTACTGTATCAGGTTTTGAACACATAATTACAATTACTTGAAGGTCAGTTTGATACAAACATACAACTCAGAGATGCATTCTCTTCTCTTCAAATGTGTAACTTAAAAAAATAAAACATTTCTGATTTGTTAATTTAGAAAGTAGTGCAGAAACAATTAAATTAGCAATATTCTAGGGCAATTACTGAGTGAAATAACTGGATTAAAAGTAAATCTCATGTGCTTGGGAGTGCGGCTCAACTCTAGTATGCTATCACTCAGGAGCCCTGGTTCAATCCTGAAAGAAATACAGGACACGACACTAGGCCAGTCTTCTCTAGAGAAAATGCTGAACTGTTGAGACCTTGAGGCTCTGGCCCAACGATCACAACCAACTGGGGAGTTCAACAAGACTCATGAGTTCTTAGAACCGACAGAAAACCAACAGAGGGTGCAGAGACAGTTGAATGACCTTGACTGCAGGAAGGAAAAGAAGAGACCAGCAGGCTGTGGCAGGAGGAGGGTGGTCTCACGGGAGGAATGAGGTCTGTAGGCCAGGACAGTGCCAGACATAGGGAACCAATTCCATAACCATTGCTGTCAGCCCTTTAGCGTCTCTCCAGCAAACGATGGGCACACCAGCAACGCAGTTACTATGGTGTGGACACTGGGAACCACCGTCAGCTGAGCGCTATACAAATGCCGACTCAAGAGCTACCAGAAACGGGAAATATTCACCAAGATCCAGCATACACTGGCTATAAAACAAATTCAAATAAACGCCAAAAAACTGAAGCATAGAACAGAGTTTCTGATCAAATAATAATAATCAGCAACTGTATGACAGCTATCCAATCCTCGACTGTGTGAAGAGTAACCAACATGCTTCTAATCTCCTATCGCTTAAGACAAATGGCCAAGTTATTACAGAACAACAAAGAAACCTGGGTGGGAGCACTTCTGAGGGAGGCAGAGAGCGCTATTGTGACAAGCCAAAGGGATGCCCACTGCTGCAGCCTCGCACACTCACACACACTCACACACTCTCTCACACACATACACACACTCACTCACACACATGCACACACTCACACTTATTCACACACACATACACTCACACACATGCACACTCACTCACACACATATACACACACGCACACTCACACACATGCACACACTCACACTTATTCACACACATATACACTCACACACACCCTCACACACACACATTACAAAGAAGACAAACTGGGTGTGTGTTTCCTTCACAATGCTGAGGAGACTGAAGCAAAATGACTGCAAGTTCAAGGCCAGTTTGAGCCGGATAGCAAGACCCTCTCTCAAAATAACAGTAATGATGTTGGTAATAGTAATTAATAATAATAAACTACATTAAGTACAATCCCTAAGAATACTTTATATTTATCTACCTTTTCCTGTAAGTTAAACAAAAAAAATATAAAAAAAGAATATCACCAAGCCTTGTTCTTCTGGTAAACACAGGACCACAGAACACATCCCAATCCATTCTATGAGGTCAGCAGAACCTTGCACCAAAACTGCCAGAGAATGACAGAAAATGTCCTGCGTGTGGACAGATGCAAGAGCTTCTGATAAAATGTCCATGAGGCAAGAGAGAGGGCCACACACTGTGATCTTAAATAATATTTTTACATGAATATAAAGTTCACTTAACACTAAAAATCCATAATATATAATATTAACAACAAATGAGAAAAATGATGTCCATAAATATATTAAAAAATATTTTGACAAAATTCTGTATCTTTTACTTAAAAAAATTCAACAAACTAAACTTAAAACAAGCTTCCTCACTGTGACAATGACTGTCTAAGAAAAACCGACAGCCAGCACCATTCCTTAGTGGTAACAGGAAACCATCTTCCCTCAGCATAAAGAAGAAGGCAGGGAGTCTGCCCCAAGCTCTTCCTTAACAAAACAGTGTGAGGAGACAGCAAGAAAACAAACAGAAGTCTCAGGAAACCGCCTTTTCCAGGAAGGACCGCAAACATGAAAACAGTAGAAATTCTGCTAAAAACCCATGCATGAACTTAGAAGAGGCAGGATAGAAGGCCAATATTAAAAAGAAAAAGAATGTATTATGTTTCTATACCAGTAACAAACATTTGGAAAAGGAATTTCAGTGGCATCAAGCAAATACCTGGAAATGTACCAAGAAGAGAAAGATGGCAACATCTACACACCAAACCCCCGATCCTCGGGAGAGCTCAGCGCAAATGAAGGAATTTTATAGACTCCTTCATTTTAAAAACCTAAAGCAATTTTAAAATAAAGAATTCTTAGAAAACCTTTGGGTGAACATGAATTTGGAGCTATGTGTCAGAAGATATGACAAGGATGGCAAGGACGTCCTTATTCACACACACCTGAGTACCGGCGGGACACAGATGTGATGTCCTGCAACTCAGTGTCAACAATCCGAACAACCACACTCAAACATGCAAACACATACATACGTAATACACAGCGATGTGCCGTGCATGCGTGCACCCCCCATCCCCTCTCCAAATTAGTCCCCCAAGTTTCTTATCTACGAGGACACGGTATTTGCACCAGCTGTAGCCCCTCCTCCGCCTGTGGAACTGGCATGACCAGATGACTTAGGATAGCACGGAAGCTGCCTCACTGCACGGCTGTGGAGAGTGACGAGAGAGAAGTCTGAATAGAACACACACGCATGCCAGAGCAGTGACGTGGATACGGGCATGGCAACATCTAAAGCAAGCTGGAAAAGACGTCAACAAACACACGTCATAGGATGTCTGCGCTCCTTATAGTATTCTTCCAACCTGACAGAATTCGGACCCTTTCAACACAAAAAGTAGGGAAATATCCTATTTCCTCAATAAGAGGAGAATCTTCAAATACGTGATAAAAGCTATGCTTACAAGTTTGTGTTCCCTCTTTTAGAAACGGTGCTCATGACCGGAATATTTCATCTCACACTGCAAAGACGCTTCCCTAAATCCTCAGCATGACATTTCGGGTTCTAGAAAAACAAATTAAAACTTTCAAAGTGAACCACTCTCTAATTTTCTTAATATTTATTTATTTCATTTTAGATGTATGAGTTTTGCCCATTTGTATGCCTGTGTACGTATGTGCCTGGTGCCCTAGGAGGTTAGATCTCCTCAAACTGGCATTATAGATGGTTGAGTACCACAAAGTTTTCAATAGTTACAGTGAAGATAAAGGAATACAGATGAATATTGTTCTAATCTGCTGGCCTGGTCTGTCACCAGAGAACCCTGTTCCCTTGAAGAGACAAGCTCCACCTACTTCCGACCTCCCCTTGTACCCTCTCCTTCTCCTCTTCCCTTTCCCCTCCATAACCCATAAGTAAACTCTACCCCAGCTCTCTCTGCATGGCCTATCTGTCTGTCTCCCACTTGATGTGGTCTCCCACCTGCCAGGGGAACCACCAAGGCCTTGGGTGACTCGCCTGGGACAGACCTTGGGTCCTACCTCTTTATATGATTAATATGAAATGAAAACATAGGCAAATAGTCCACATCTAAGGCAAGAAAAAAATAAGAAACCAGAATAAAAATAAATAGCAGCATTATTTTCAGAAACTGACTTCATAAAGGCAAGAAAATCAATGGAAAAAACCATTAGAACAATAAGTATACTCTCTTGGTCCTTGTGGGGAATGACAGGCAAGTAATCAATGTAATTTGAGGTGCCTAAGAAAGATTTGCTCGAACTGACAGCTAAGCTAAAAATCAGAAAGCCCAGTTAGCCAGAACCAAAAGTAAGGAGGGTCCATGTTCCAAGCATGAAAAACAAGGGGCTAAGATGAAGGAAGAGCGGAAAGAGAACGAGGGTACAATAGACAAAGGCCTAGAGGGCAGAGAGTAGGTGACCATCAGGACCTTGCTCCCTCTGCAAGTAGCCAGAGCCCAGAACTCATGAGAGCCAACAGCCCCCTGGAACAGTGAGCAAGACCCGCCCCAGAAGGAGGCTGTGGCAGCGGGTCCCTGTAACTGCCATTGGCCAAGTGACAGATGTCCTCTACACAGACACAGTTTAGTGGGTCATTAGGTGGGGGCGGAGCAGAGCTGAGGCAGGAGACTAGCATCGAGAAGATGGACTCAAGGTTGCTATGGCGCACTGCGGCAAGCCCAGTGGGTAAGACACGTGTGCGGGCTGAAGAGATGGCAGTTGGGGGACGGACAGGTTTTCTAAGTGGCAGACATCAGGAAGGAGGAGGGCAGCGGAAGCTCTGAGAGTTATTGTTCCTAGGCTGGCTAAGATGAGCAGGTCTGGAATAAGATGATGAAAGTCATGCTGGGGCCAGAACCAAAGTCTCACATAGGTTAGGCAAGAGTTCCCCACACGCCAGCCCACATCCGTTCTGAACAGGCTGAGAGAGGCCTACAGATGGAGCCGTTCACTGCATTCTAGTCAGAAAACAAAAATCTTACCTGTTTTTGTCAAATGATGTCCTAGCCAAACGTGACTGCAAGATAGCTGTTATCTACGAGGAGAAGCGTTTAAAATTACGGGCATGAGTATAAGTGAGCTCAATAGAAGCTGACTTCCAGTCAGACAGCAGTTGTCCAGCACACTCACCATGGCCGTTTGGTCACCAAGTTTATCAAGACAGGATGCTCTGTGCAGCTACAATGTGATAAACACACAATTAGTTTCCCTGTAGACAGTCCCAGGTATCTCTTTAGAGGCCATGATTGTCTGTCTGTTAGTAACAGCAGGGATCAATTCTGATGTCTCCTATTTAAGTTTCCAAATTCAAGTCAAGAGCATATTTACAAGTGACAGCTGTCTGGGTAAGATGAAATCCCTGTTCCAGGAAGGGAGAGGCATGAGGGAGGCCAGTCTGGGCTACATGAGCCCCTGCCTCAAAACAAAAGTGAAACCAACATGGAGGCTTCCAGCTCAGTCTGCTCTATGCTCTGTGCGTGTGAGACCACCGAATGGCTGGCTTACCTGAAGCAGCGTCTCCACAACATCCTCCACCTTCCCAGAAACCTCCAGTTCAAAGGCATACTCCATCTTTCCCTGGGGGGGGGGGGGGCAGAAGCAGCAGTAAGCATCTGCAGGGTGGCTGCCAGCTGTGCGTTGTGACTGTCTTCCCACTGGAATGCTGGGCTTCCCTTCCTTCAAACAAAGGCTCACCTTACACTGTGGGCTCTTCAGAGGTTGAAGTCTCAGTCCTTATCATCCCCCACATCGATTCCTCGTAATAAACTCCTTATATCTAACACTATCTGTCTCAATCTCCCCATGTTCTATGTATAATCAGGCCGCGCGCGCACATGCATACACACACACACACACACACACACACACACACACACACACACACACAATCCTGACAGTCTATGTCTCCAGAGAACCCTCACATACATTGATAGCTACATGCCTGGCACTTGAAATACAGGTCTGTCCTTCAGACGGTCTCAGCAGGCTCCCCAAGGAAGGGCACCCAGGAGTGCTCTCAACTTGAGAGAAGGGTAGTCTATTGACCATGGGAGTTTTTGCCAAGATGTAGAGGCAATACCACAACAAGAGAAAAGTCACAAGGCCAGAAGCATTTAGCAGAGAGGAAGGCACACTCACACACAGTGGCCAAGCCCCTGGGCCACTGCACATGTGAGTTTTCCTGACTCTAACACTGTCTAAGCAGTTTCTGTTTCATAAGTTGCTGGATAAGATACTGCAGGCAAGGGGCTGGAGGGATAGCTCAGTGGTTAAGAGCATTGCCTGCTCTTCCAAAGGTTCTGAGTTCAATTCCCAGCAACCACATGGTGGCTCACAACCATCTGTAATGAGGTCTGGTGCCCTCTTCTGGACAGCAGACATACACACAGACAGAATATTGTATACATAATAAATAAATAAATATTTTAAAAAAAAAGATACTGCAGGCTGCCTGCACCTTGAGCTAAGCATGCAGCCTGGATTAACACGAGAGTGTGGTTTCTCTCATTCACAGAAGCGTCCTCATCAGGAGCTGGCTCCACCTCCTGGTCCTATAAACACTAGGAGTGTGCCTTCCCCACACAGTATGCTGCAGTGAAGAACAGCAACAAATGTGACTTCAAAGACATGTCTATGCCTCCCTGTAAATCCTTATAACTTCCACCAAATTAAGACTTCATAAAAGTTTGTTATCAAATATGGGCTAATTTATAAGTTAAGTGTCTCTTGAATGCTCTTAAAAATAAATTTTCACTACTGTTAGGCAAAAAGTTCTCAGTGGTACATAGTAAATATGCTTATCAATTTGTACACTCTGACGGCAGTTCCTTACTTCCTTAAAAAGATGTGTTTATTTCTATGTTATATGTGTAGTTATTTTGTCTGCATACATGTCTACGTAGCATGTGTGTGCACTGCCTGCAGAGGTCAGAAGAGGGCATCAGATCCTCTAGAACCAGAGTTACAAATGTTTTTTAGTGCCATGTATATAATAAATCACAGTGCTCTCAACCCCTGAGCCATTCCTCCATTTCTTTCCCTTCTAATATGATTGCTAAGCTTTTGCTATTAGAACTAAAGGCTGTGGATCCCTTGGGTACTTTTGCAATAAGTGCTAATAAACTTTGAAGTACCCAGTGTTACTTACCATATTTGATTAAAGATGTTAATAGGACCACAAAAGTCTTACTGCTCAAAAATCGCTGCATAAATGTCCAATAATCTATGAAAAAGTTTACTTACCCGTTCTATCTTATATGGCGCCACAATGTTGTGTTCTTTAATGAAATACACCTGAGAAAGGCAAGAAATGCTGAAGGAACCAAGTTGTCAGTGTGAAGAAGTACCCAAAGATCTATGAATTCAGTGTCTACACTGCCACACAAGCTCCAGCTGGAAGGCTTTATGCATGGCTTGTCTTCAGCACACCCCGATTGTGAGGAGCTCTTGGCAGCCTGGTGCAAAGCAGCAGGGGTTCAGAACACCTCAGGGTCTCCTGGCTCCACTCTTGACCCTGCCCTGGTTTCCAGGGCACCCAAATGAGGTCACACACTCTTAGCTGCCCAGTGCTTTCCTCATTTGCCCTTTACTCTAGAGCCTTACCATGCTTCAGAGGCTGCCGTGACCCTTCGGCCCTCACCTGCTCAACTCCTACATCCCACGGTCACTGCTTTCTAACCATGCGGTCTTAAGGGGCACAGAGCACAGCAACAGTCCCTAGTGTGCCCAGGACACTTCTGTCCTGCTCTTCCTTTTCTTCATGACATTTATCACTTACTGACACAGGACGAGAGACTTTCCCCCTCACCAGCCATCTCCCCTACTGAACATATGGCTTAAAACTAATATTTGTACATACACAAACATGTTATTCCAACAACAACTAAAACTGAAAGCAAAACTTTGTACCAAAACTTTTTCTGAGACGTGGTGAAAGTACTGACATACAAAGCTTAAAATAATCCTTGAAAGAGTAGCTTGCCCTGGGTGTCCCTTGATTCTGAATTGGTTTCATCTGAGATCTCCTCCTAAAACTACTAAAAGAGGAAGGATTCTGAGCTGTATTTCTAAATCCAAGTTATTAAGTCTTTACTAAGATGAGCAGTTTTCTAAAGAAAATGGTACTTTTAACTAAAAAAAAAAAAGTATTCTTTCCTTCCAAGATACGAATGCCCTGCACTAAGCTCACGATGCCCTAAGAAGTCACCTGTGAGCACACAGGGCTAGGGATAGTAGCACGGCTCCCTCACAAAGCACAAGATGGGCTGTACCTGTTTGCATGTGAGACATTAAATATGAAGTTGAAGATAGTTCCAATTTTTTAACAATTGGAATTATAGGAGATACTAACCGAAAGTTACTTAATTCAAAATCTCCCAGATCATCAGAGACATCTCAAGGCATGCTAACCAGTGGTCTCTGAACAAAGGGTTCGGTGACTGAGACAGCAGAAGCCGCTGGTCCTCCTCCCACCCCTCCCACGCTCCAGGTGCTGTCCCGTGCCAGTCTCTGCACCAAGTGCTCAGTGCAGCCACTCTGCCCACAGCTCCTGCACTCCTCACAGAGCGTCCCTGGACCTTGACAGTGCACAGAACCAGAGAGCTGCAGGGAGTCCAGGAACCCCGATAAACACATCCTGAGACGGATGACGAATACGAAGCCAAAAACCAAAAGAACAGAGAAATCCCTCTGCTCTTATTTTTTTTTTAATCTACAAACTAATCAATGACACGCCAGCATTAAAGCTGCATTTTAATTTGTTATGTGATGCCGATACGAACTTGAGTACCACAGTGTGTGCATAAGTGAGGTCAGTGTGCATCTGGATGAACACTCCTCCCAGGAGGAACTGCCCTTCCGGAGCATTGCTGGGCTGTCACACAGAAGCCTGAGGTGGCTTCGGTGACCTTTAGCGGGGAGGACGGGGGCACAGAAAGAACTGCTACACTCAGTTTCTTTCCAGCTTCCCACTGACCCTGAGTACAAAACTGCAATTCTCAGACTTAGTAAACCCGGAGGGTCCAATGGGAGACTGTTATCCTTTAAAATGTCTGTTTCTCAATGACTAAATTCTCAAGTCATTTAAACATCGATTCCCATGTGTCTCCAGCTGAGATCTATGTAAGTGAATGATTTCATCATGCAAAGGAAATCACGCACATTCATGCACAGAAGCCTTCCCCTAAGTCTGGACACGTACGCACTAACATTTTTAGTAAACATGTTTACTAGATGCTCTCACCTGTCTGAAAATGAGTGAAATACCTGAAGATTTTGCCCTGGAATGCAGAAAAAAAAAACATCAGACATGTAAAATTTTTGTTAAAGTAAAATTAAAAGTGAAAACAATGTACTTAAAACAACATACTTTGCAAGGTGTCTGTTGGCTCCATTTTCTCCACGTTTTCCTATTTTCAAACAGTCTCTCAAAGGGATCTGGGTAAAATGGAGAGAGAATATTACGAAAAGTAGCGAAGATGAAGCACGCGCCCACGCCATTAGGAATGCAAACACCTTTACCTTAATGATGGGCTGGGAGATAGCATCTGGTTCAAAAATCACTGATTTTGAACATATTTTTAAGGAGCCTCTGGTTTTCCTAGGAGCCAAAAGAAAAAGGATTATTTGATGGACACCAGGGAAATCAAAAAAGTAAAATGTGGTTGGCCAGGGTGTCAGCGAATAAAAGCCCGGCAACTACAGGGAGTAAGCACAATGGAGAACAGCCGCGCCCCTTCAGCTCCTCTCGGGGGCTGGGGAACCCATACAGGCTGAGGCTTCATTTGTTAACTGCGGCCCCACGACCTCATTAATTATTATTATTATTAGAGTTTTCACAATTGCTCTCCAGAGAAACCGAAGCACAAAAACACTGACAATGCAAAATCTGTGATGTTTCCAGCAAATTTCATTGGCTCTTCATCTTCTGAATCTGGAAGAATTACTCAGAAAACACCAATAAATTGGAACAATTAAAGATTTTTTTGCTTTTTAAAATCATGGAAAATTTAAGTTTGAATTTTACATACAAAATACCATAAACAATGATTTTGAAGCATTCATGGAAAAACTCCATTTCATGAAAATAAGCACATTTATATACAAGTATAATTTGTATGATTTCACATTCTTTTTCTCCCATTTTTTATGAATATGTCTATGTGTGTTCACGCCTGCTGATGTGGGATGTCCTTCTGCATATGTGTTGCTTTATTGGTTGATGAATAAAGCTATTTTGGCCAATGGCTTAGCAGAGTAAAGCCAGGCAGGAAATCCAAACATATATATGTGTGTGTGTGTGTGTATATATATATATATATATGTTTTTATATAACTTAGAAATCCAAAGTGTCAAAATCAACAACAGCAATAAAAAAAACACCTCACACTGAGATATACAGTCGAAAAGTTGAGAATGGCCTCCCAGTCCCAGAGGAAAGTCTCCTCTTTGTGGGAGGAAGTGATTGCTGGAGCTTTCTGGTCATCATTACTACTCAATACATGCACCCACTGTACGGAAGGTCAGAATTCAGTTCGCAGCTCTCCTTTCTCAAAGGGTTTTGAAAATGTACATTTTTTCGTGCTGCTAAGTGCATTTACTTTTAATATCCAAAGTTACCAACAGCTAGATTTTTTTAATAGAATGAAACTTCTAAGTATTAGCAACTAGAATAGAAAGTGCCATATGCCCATCACTCAGCTTTAGCACTGGTCATTTTTGCTTCCACTGCTTCTCATATAAGCCCCTCCTAAACCCAGCTGGTCCACGTCAGGAGCGCTGAAGAAGCACTCGTTTAATAACGGCTCTACCCTTACCACACTTAAAGAACTCCTTAAGTTCTCAAGTACACTGTGTTCAAAAACTTTCCAGTTCATAAATGTATTTTCACAGTTTACTCAAATCAAAACCCAAAGAGTCCACATAACACCTGATTCATATAATGTACTCCTCATCCTTGCTAATCTACAATTATTTTCCCACATGACTTTTTTGTTTTTCCTTTTCCAATACTTGGCTAGAACTCATGTTCTCTTGGACATTCCAGACAAGAGCCCGACCTCCCAGCCTATAAATGCCGCTTACTGCATCTGTGTGACAGGCACCCCTCTACCATGTCCTCCTTTGTATCAACCACGAGATTAGATCAGATTTTCTGGCACCCTCTGACAGTACTTCAGGGGAGGCGCAGGGAGTGCTCACTCCAGTGGGAACCGTGGGGGACTGAAGGTGGTATTAATCTTCACATGCCCATCACAAACCTTCTCAGTACCCCTCACCTGAGGGCTTTAGCAGCCCTTGAAGATTACGACACACATATAATTATGGTGAATAGTCTCTATGAAGAGCCAGACAGATGTGTGTTTGCAGATCACGCACTCTCTGTCACAACTATCAAAGGGTGATCAAACAAGAGACACAGATGGTGGTGGCTGCTCCCAAACAAGGGGTCATACCAGTAAAGCAGGTGGCCACTCAAAGGGTCCAAAGGCTGTGTAGTTGCTGACCCCTTATACAGAGCCATTGCTCCATCATGGGTTTAAATTCTGTTACTCCATTATACATACAAGCTAGAATTTTTCAACTAAGAATAACTTCACATTAATCAGCACTTTAATGGCACTGAAGCACAACCTGTACAAGGAAAACAAAAATTCAAAGACAAATTATGCTTTGATTTGTAGCTTTCAAAAAAAAAAAAAATCGACCCAAGCAGCTGGATCTGTTTTCAAAGAAGTGAGTAGTTACGGAGGAAGCAGATTTTGCCCTGGTTCCCACTGCATTATTCATTACTTCATCCTCGCTGCTCCATGGCTTCCAATCATGACTTCACTGCATCACCCTGCAGTGACCGGGAGCAGGGAACACTGTGTGACACAAGGCATGCCACCATCTCGTTACCTAACTACAGAGTGGGAAGAGGGACGCCTACGCAGTCCTATGTGGACTCTGAGAGCCCACTAGTGCCCAGCACTGTGCGAGCTGACTCACCTCTCCTCGTGGCTGTCCTGGCTCTGGACGTGGAAAGCCGTGTGCTGCTCGAAGTAGTATTCCTCCAAATTGAGCAGCAGCAAGGAGAACCTGAACGGGAAAAGAAGACAGCTTCGTGTTGCATCTGGTCTACAGAGGTGTTTGACGGCCTGCTCCACACCCTAGGCGGCCCTCTGGGGAGCCCACACTTCTCTCTCCCATGTCCCAAATGGAATCCTTCCCAGCACAGATGCACTGTCTGCACACACACACAACAGTATCAAACTGGGAAATTAAGTTTATGACAGCCTTGCTCTCCTCCCCATGGGAATGCTCATGTCACTGTCCCCTGATGGTGCACGCCAGGCTTCTCTGCCCCTACCCTGCCATAACCCTGAGACCCACACTGACTTCAGTTCTTGTGACTCCCACAAGCCAATGAGCTCTGGAGACAGGTGCACAGATGGCTACACCCAACCTAATGTTTAAGATCATGCATGTTTAATAAGTAAAACAAATATATTGAGTTGTATAGTCCCTTCAGTTTGAATTGCTTTGTGCTTTAAAAGTACAACGGCAGAAATACGGTGGTGAGGTGACGTGGGTAAAGGGGATTGCTGCTCAAGCCTAACGGCCTGAGTATCCCTGGAACCCTGGAGGAAGGAAAGTACTGACTCCCGCACAGACCCCCACACTTGCACCATGGAAAGTGCATGTGCACAACTAAAAAAATAAAATAATTTAGTTGCACGGCCATGGAAATCAGTAAGTATAAGGCAAAAACATGCAAAGAAGCATGTGTCTGGCTGCAGGGTAGGGCGGGGCACTGACAGCATCTGGAGTCAAGGATAAAGCTTTCAGAAGCTCTGCTGTCCTTGAGGAAGATACCTAGTTTAAACATGGATAACACAGAATATTGCTTATTTTACTTCCTCCTGGAACAAACCTAAGATGTGGATAAAATATTTTTAAATGACAAAACCCAAAGACAACGGCAAACTAGAGAGAGATCAAAGCAAGGAAGAGACGTGAGCCAGTCTGTGGGGGCAGCCTGCTAATGGGAATTAGAACAGAACTCAGCGTGCGGATGCTCCCCGAGACGATACCACTCATCCGAACACCAATGCAAGCACAGGACATGACCCGGTGTCAGCCACCGAAGTCACCCTCAGATGAGCGCCTCTACTGTGGCAGAGCAAGACCCAAGGAATACACAGGAAAGCCCAGGACTACAAACTGAAAGAGCAGGGACAGCTCAGGGTCGGAAGAAAAGGTAAAAGACTAGTGACCCGTGTAAAGACAGAACATGTCAGAGCAACACCCAAACGAGCAAGAATACACTAGAAGGACCCAGACAACACAAGGAACAGAAGGTCAAAACACTCTAACAAAACACTCATTGAGAGACACGAGAGAGTGCCACTCAAAAAACAAGCTGGCCCAAAAGACTGACTAATGAGATTAAAATGAATGATTACAGGAACTAGTTGTACCATCTAAGTTTTATTGACCTGTCCTCCATTTGAAAACATTTCTGAACAAGAATTAGTCATAAATTAGGTTTAGTGTCCAGTATATTTAAAAAAAAAATTAGTCATAAGCCGAAGTTCCAGCACAGTGCCCAGGCTCGGAGGAAGGGGCATTCATTCCTTTGATGTGTCAGGTGATGTCCAGGAAGGCACCAATCAGGAACTTACACATTAGTTACCTCCCTAAATTTTGGCTGCAACCAAATGAGCTGGGGTGCAGTCCTTCCTCTGTCCCCTGCTGTCCCCTCTGCTCCCATAGGAAGGGGGGAAAACAGAGACGTGTTCTTCAACAAGACATATGCAGGATTTTACAGCTAGGAAACACAGACCACCTTCCAGGACAGCTATTCTTCTACACAGTGAGACAGATGCTGACTCTTTATCATAGATTAATAGTGGTTTCCTTCGTTTCGCAATACTTGTATTTTAAGAGAAACATAAACTACAGAGAAGGAACCTAAACCAACCACACTCCCTTACAGTAACAGTTTAAGGAGCTGTTGGCTTGTTTTTTTGTTTTTTTGTTTTTTTTTCTTTGTTTTCTGTTTTGAGATAGGGTTTCTTTGTAGCTTTGGAGCCTGTCCTGGAACTCCCTCTGTTGACCAGGCTAGCCTCGAACTCACAGAGATCTTTCCACCTCTGCCTCCCTAGTGCTGGGATTAAAGGCGTGCACCATCACCTCCTGGGCAGGAGCTGTTTGTTTTGTTTGCATTTAAATGTTTGCTGGTACTTGATTTAAATATTTTCTATGTGAAAATTATTTCAATTAACTTTCAACAATAATTTTCAAACAATATTCTATGGGGTTAAAAAAAAAACTAATATTTTAAAAACTTTAAAAGTCAGGGCTGGAAAGGTGGCTCCGAGGTTAAGAATATGGGCTGCTCTTCCAGAGGACCCAGGTTCAGTTCCCAGCACCCACATGGCAGCTCACAACTGTCTGTGACTCCAGTTCCAGGGGATCTGACATCTTCACACAAACATACATGTAGGCAAAACACCAATGCACATGAAAATTATTTAAAAAAAAACTTTAAAGTCACTCTTTTGCGGTGCCTTTTGCACTCACGCATTAATATCACAGCTACATTAATTACTTCTTTAGGAGACTTGTGCCCATGGTTCCATAGTCTCAGTGTAACCCACCTTATAGAGTATGTATTCCTAGATATAGCTCTTCATTAGCAGATCATTCATACTAAACATATGCTATTGTAACCTTAAGTCACCATATATTCAAAGTATATGGATGTGCTTAACGCCTAGCCCACTGTTCCACTCCTGACAGCCAGAGGGGATAATTCCTGATAAGAAACTTCAGAACAAGAATTAGTCATAGATTAGGTATAGTCCACAGCCACTCCACAACTGTTCCCAAGAGTGGGTCCACAGTGTGTACTGGTCAGGCATGGATCTAAGTTACACACGTAAATCTGTTAGGAAAGCGCACTGTGTGGGATGTGTCACTGCACCCTGAACACCCAGACCACCCTCAGAGCACGTGCGACACCACTAGACAACTGGCTGAACAAACTAGCCCTTGGGATCTGAAATAAGGAAGAGATTGAGAAAACAGGCACACAAACACGCAAGATTATAGTCTGGTGACGGCACAGCTGCAACCCCCCCCCCCCACCTCCAAGCCCCACTTAAGCAGAGTCTGGAGAGAGCTGCAGGAGCGGAAAGAGCAAAACCTGCCCTTGTCCATCATGCCAGCCACGCTCCTCAGAGACAGAATTAACAAAATCAGTAAATCTTTGCAAGACAGGAGGGCTTTCCAATGGCCCGGGGGAAACTTCCCCCCTTCTCTGCTTAAGTCCCTGAGACACAAAGCAGACAGCTGTGTGGAAAAGTGAATGACAGAAGGTGCTAGATTGGAGAGTCGCTCAACAACAGTCTGCTGAGTCCTCTTGGCTTCTGAGTACAGTCAGAAGAAGCCCTCACAGTGAAGGGCTTCAAGAGAGGAAGAGAAATTGACCTCTAGTTTCTGTGGTTGGTTAAGGCAGAGGTTCTCTGGGTTCTGTGGGACAGTTGGGGGAGGAGTCATGGCTCACTTCAGGGGAGAAGGGGGGCAGGAGCAGGAGGTCAGGGACCTTACTCCTGAGACCTTTTCAGCTCTTTAGTCCAAAGCACTCCGCAGGCCAGGACCATACTCTGGAGGACTCTTTCAGACTCAACAATCACTTACACTAGAGGCCACCTAACTATAGAACATCAATCTCCCCATGTTAACTCTGTTCCCACATAAAAAAGTTAAAAACAAACAACGAAACAAACATTTCATCCTCTGGCCAAGTGAAGGGGACTAAACTCTGCTTCATTTTCTACTTTCCAATCAGATTCGGGAGCAGGGCAGGACTTTACTGTAATTCATGCTGGAGATGGTGGCAACTTCCTCCTTCTGTGGTCTCTGAACCTTCTGTCCCGCCAGCACTTACACCAGCTAGTACGCGCATGCTCCTCCAGCACTAGACAACCACAACCCCGCACACGAGCTGGCCCAGCATTTTTATGCCAGCAGACACCTGTGTCCGCTTCGTCTTCACACAGCTCGTGAAATTCTCTTCTAGATGAAGGCTGCTGTCATGAGGGGAATACACAAAAAGCGTCACTTTCTCAAGTCCATGTGGCCTTGCTAGCAGCTACATATGTCCTCATTTCAAACACAACTTCAGAAATTTTGTTTTGTTCTCTTAACCTACGGCGTTTTTCAAAGCTTCCGTTCCGTTCAAGGGAGGCTCCAATTTTCTTGAAGCCAGTTATAGCTTCTGGACTCAGTTCTGGAGAACAACGTGGAGAAACATTGCTAAACAATCATCTGTGTTTGCTTGCCCTGCCTTCTGCAACTGTGCAGGAAAAAAGGAAATTTGGACAAGAAATCTAAATTATATTTTTAATGGTAGTATTACTTCTTGCGTGAAAATGTTTTCCAGAACAGTCCAATAATAATGACTATATATTTTTTTACTTGAAAGCTTTGAAACTGCTTTCTTTAAAAATCTTGGCTTTAGGTAAGGCTACAGCCTCAATCCCTTCGGCTCTTTCTCAGTTTCTTTACTGGACTTGGTTCATGAATGTCTCTTTAATGTTCGGAATCAAATAAACGTCCCAAGCTCTCTGCATTAGGATAAATGAAAACTTTAAGAAGGGAAGTGGGGATCTGTAATTAGCTCAACTACACTTCTCTGTTGGCATTTGTCACTGTTGCCACTTCCTGTTTTCTACACCAGGTACGCATCAGTCACTTTTTCCCCTGTCCCCTGAGGGGGACCTGCAATGAAAGAATGCAAGAGTGTTATCTCTGTTCCTCTTTCCATGAGGTCCTCAGGGTGTGGGCCCCACCCACTCTGGTCCTGAATCACAAACCAATAGGAATTTTTGCATCTTCTTGGCATTTACAACTCTCTAGCAGGTAGACACTTCTGCATAAATCTGCGGCTCTCAGCAATGGATTCTGAAATCAAGCCCCACCTAAACACTAAGGCTTGTAGTAGTTCGCTTCCTTTGCTATGATAAATACCACGACCAATACCAGCTTAGGGAGGAAAGTCCTTACTTCTGCTTTTTTTTCCCAAGGGTAGC